TTGCCAAGGTGGATCTATTTTTACAAAGACTTAAGCAGTGTTGAAGTCGAGGTACTTGTGATGGATCACAAGTCAATCACAGTTCTAAGTCATGTCACAAACTATTTAAATGAACGACGACAAAGGCATTCTATCGTGATTTGTTCATCCCATTATGACTGAAGGCACTGTCGGCCGAACCTGAGGTGGCATTGGTTCCCTTACACTTTTTCCACAGGGATATCCCCCCTCTGGGTATACACTGCAGTTGCCGCAGTCGTCCGGCATGGGTGGTGCTCCCCCAACCTTTAAAAACTGTTCTGCCACCACTCACTGAAGGCTCCTGGATTGTTTGCCTTCTGTCTGGACTCGAAATGTACTTATAGTCCATCACAAGTACTGCGATTGCTGGACCTCAGAACATTAAATCCTCCTCGAAAAAAACCCAAACAAACAAATATAAAACCTACCATCAATGCCTTTCACAAACCACAGCTAGTGGCAAGCCAGTTGTCTTGCTGCTCTTCACTGCCGGACCGTTTGACATTTCTTGGGCCGTCAACAACCCCGACGTCTCTGTAATCGTACAGTGTTTCCTGCCAGCCCAAGCTACTGGTGTGGCCATCAGGCACATGTTTACCAACTACCAGGGCACCAACCCAGCTGGAAGGCTTCCTTACACATGGCCAGCATCCATGGACCAGGTATATCTTAAGTCAAATTAAGTCAAACTTGACTTGCGACTTAAAGTTAATCATGATTAGAGCCAGATCTTGATCACATCTTGTGTTCGAGACTCACACCAAACCAAAAGATATTTAGAGCAACTCACACTAAGGTCGTTTTCTACAGGAAAACTTTCTACAGGAAAACATATGGTGTTCCAGAGTCACACCAACCAAAATGTATTTAGAGCCATAATAGCTCATACTAATGTGGTTTTCTGCAGGCAAACTTCGTGTATACCAATGTGGAGATTGGGGTTAATTATAAATGTTCTTTAATTTGGGGCATAACATGTTAAGAACGACCCTTTTCACGTCTAACTAGCCTGGTCGCTATTTTAGGGACTTCTGCCATGTACCATGAGGGTAAGAGCTAGGTGATCCTCAGCGAGCGCGCGGGCTTTTGCATACATTGGAAGTAGTGGTGGTTGTGTTGAAGATATAGATGGATGGAGACGGTTTTGGGCTTGTCATGGCGTCAATGTAGAAGGGTCTTTCGTCCCTCCAAGAAAGAAAATAGTGCTGTTATTGAACCAAGTTCTTTCTTCAAGACGAATGCTGCACTTATTTCCAATTGACTTGCTTCTGAAGTCATTTGAGCAACTGCAATATCCAAGTTTTCTTGTGAAGTTTCTCATAATTGTGTCAAATGTCAAACTTAACTCTAATACTAGGAATGATTTAGTTCAGCTCAAATGCCAGTCTGAAATCGAACAGAGGTAAAGTTGATTAACAGAATTGCAATCCTGTTCATCACAAGTCAAATCACATGTTCATCACTTGTAATGTCTCAAGTTACAGGAATGTCTTTATTTATGTGCATACAACTTTGGCTTGTGGATTGACTGGAGATAATAGGAGATGCAATTGACTTTGGAGCTGGAACTGACAAAATAACTAACCTGCCTGGACAAAATAACTCACTTAAACTTATTGTTTCTGTGCTCTCTTCTTTGCCATGTTTGCAGGTACCCCCAATGACAAATTACTCCATGGTGAACCGCACCTATCGTTACTTCAGTGGAACACCATTCTACCAGTTTGGTTACGGACTCTCCTACACTAAGTTTCAGTACAGTCAGTTGGTTGTGAAACCAGACCACATCATGCCGTGTGATGACGTTTTTGTGAATGTGACTTTGAAAAACGTGGGCGCATACTCAGGGGATGAGGTGGGTATAGTCTACTTGGAACTAACTTGTAAATGAATTGTGTACATGAACAGTATATCGTGCATCATGACCCCTCGTAAGAGCTGTGTGCGGGATACACTGCATGAACAAACTGGTTTGCCCACATATATATGGTTTAAAGTACACAATTACCATTTGCAAGCATCAACCCGTTGAGTCTTCATGTGATTGTAAGGCGTGAAGCGGTAATGCTTTCGCGAATCCTGCCTAATTACATTCTCTTTTCCAGCATGAGCGGATACTTGATGAGCATGTAGTACCACTACGCACTTGCTCACGCAAAATGAGTGTTTTAACTATTTATATGATAGTTGTGAATGGCCTATTAATCTCTCTGCATTATTACGTTCTGACATGGTGCCTAATTCCCTTGTTCTTCATTGTTCATGGTCTTTTCATTACTGTTTTTAAGGTTGTGCAAGTTTACATCAAATGGAGCAATGCCACGGTCCCCGTTCCTAAGATCCAGTTGGCAGCTTTCGAGCGCATCAACACTGCCTCCCTCAAGACTGTCTCAGTCGTCCTATATATTCCGGCCCGTGTGAGAGCAGTCTACACTGACCGTTTGGTCCTTCAACCGGGAGCCTTCACCGTCTTTGCCGGTGGTCAGCAGCCTAGCCCAAGCATTGGTGGATGGCTAAGCTCCAATGTGATGACCGGGAGCTTCCAAGTGGACGGGTCAGAGACAGACCTCGCAAAATGCCAAAAGTAGATTCAGATGAAACAAAACAGGACATCAACTGCGTATAGCTAAAACATTAATTGGGCTATCCTCCCCCCCCCCCCAAAAAAAAAATAAAAATCTCGGCATCATACATGTGCATGCTATTCTTTTTGCCGCCAATATCCAGCTAATAATGGTTAAAGCCTTCTTAAATTAGGCCCCTACTGTCTGGAGCTTTTCCTTAAAGATGTATGCAAACATAAACATTCTCCATAAGTAGGCAATTCTGGCTTCTGATCATGACTTGAAAATTGTCTTTACGCCACCAAATTCGGTATAATTATGCCACTTTCAGTGTTCCAATTGTCAGAATTTGAAAGAAAGGAATATTGCTGTAGCACAAAAAGGAAAAAGCCATAAATTTGTAATGGCATCAAAATGTTGCGCTTAACATCAATTGTCTTCAAACTGCGGTACTGAGATGCAATTAAGATTTACAAGTGAAAGTGAAATACATTGTGCTTAACAAAATGAGAATTAGTGTTGCTTATTACTTAGAATAGTTAGTTTCCTTCTTGCGTTATTTCCATGGGATAAACTGATTCCTTCCACTGCCGAATCCAAACTTTTGAAAGTAATTAAAGCTCAAGGATATTGTATCATGGGTTCATAGGTTTTTTTTTTAATTTGATTTGTAATTTGATGTCTATTGTATTGTCTTTGTAAACGGATCGATTGAAAATGACCCGAATGTTTGGGCCCCTGTACATTTTCAATGGACCGCTTGACATTACGCGTGCATTGTCATTTTCGGGTGAAAAGGTCTATTGTGAACACTACAAAGTTATTCTGCCTGTATTTAGAGTACCGTAGGCTGCCGTCAGTTGTGTTTGTTCAACTTCACCGTTGCTAGTTAGCGTGTTGATGACACCTACCTGAGCGTGACTATCCGAAAGTATATACACGGCACACCTAGCTAGGTACTAACATTGTTTGTACCCTGTACGTACACTGCTTTGGCGGATAATAAAATGACCTTTGCATTTTCCGGTTGCATGTTGTAAAAAGTCATATGCCTTATTGGTTCAAAGATATGTGCAGGCGGTTAAGACTGGTTTTAAATTTACTTTTGAACTGAAAATATCGCTCTGAGGTGTTGTTTCTTAAAAGCAGTACCAGTAAACTGGTTCAAATGACCAGCTCTGTTAAGGAAAACATTTCAGTGACATGCACGCATCTGTTATTTGTAATGTATCTTCATTATAGAAGTATGCTTTATTTTGTATTGGTTAATAACTACATTGTAAACTTTAGTGGATAAATATGTATGAGTGTCACCAATATTCAACATCGTGTGGAAATAAAATTTCTCAGTAGAAAAAAAACAACACTTTTAACCTCTCAGATTTGTTGAATAGATGTTGCTTCTATTCATGCAGGCATCCAAGAATCTTCAATAAAATTCTTTGTCTTCTCTTTGTTTTTCCCCGTTGATGACGAAGAGAATTGACCAGCATTGGATTCGAACCAATGTCCTGGTATTGGTAATGATTACCATTCTACGGTACCATCCATGTGGCTTGGTTGATGGCCATGCATCCTGTACTGTCCTACTATACTGTCTGCTTATCATTGGGCTCACTGGTGTATGGGTTTACTGCTGGCTTCTGAACAATGAAATTCAAAAGGCAAATGAATGCTCATGAGTTTTTTGCCTAAAGCTTTAACATTCTATAGTATAAAAGACACAACAATGTGATAGGTTGTCTACACATAACGTTTTAATGTTGGACTCCGGTGGGGAAAAATGTCCTCCCCCTCCCCACTTGGCTCCCACCAGAATGCACACCTGTAACCGTGATGTCATTTTGTCTATGGACTTTTGGATGCTCATTTCAGTATATCATTTCAGCTTTAGGACCAGATATGTCGGGTTGAAATTAAACATTGAACCATTGCTATTGTGTGTTTGCTAGGATGAATCGTTTGCAAATGTAGCAACTTTTTTGTTTAAAAAAAAAATAATCATAACATAGGGCCTAGCTACTTGCGTGCTACCATGATCTTGATGGCATTATATACCAAATATGATGGTATCATGTTATTGTTTGAACTAGCTGGACAGATGTATACTCCGTTTTTCTTGCGAAAACATCTCATTTACTTTGTTTATTTTCATGTTAATTTGTGCAAGGTAATGGGCTCCAGACGTTTTTTTTTGTACTTTATTTACACTATACCATACAAACTCCACGCCCTTGTACTTGTACATTGTACTAGTTTACAATTGTCAACACTACAAAAAGTATCATAGTATTGGAAGATAATATTGTGTGTACACACACACTGTTCAGCATTTGAAATGACCTTTGTATTTTCCATTACATGCAATCACAAGTTGCAAAAAGTCATGTGCCTAATTTGGCTTAAAAAACTACATGCAGGCAGTTAAAACTGGTTTTATATTTACCTTTGAACTTAGTATAGCTTCAAGGTTCTGGGGCTTTGTTTATTAAAATCAGTAAACTGGTTCAAAAGACCAGCACAATTTTGAGGAAATTTCATTATGGCAGAATTGTATGCGCGCTTCTGTACGTAAAGGTGCTGGTGGTCTTTTCAGACAAGACCAACTGAAAATTTGATTTGAGCTCTACTGATGAAATATTCCACCATGATGGTTGTTTTTGTGCTTCTATTCGGTATCTTGCCCGCCCTGGTATCCTCCGAGTACTTCCCCTTCATGAATGATTCGCTGCCATGGGATGAGCGACTGGATGACCTCATGTCCCGCTTGACCCTGGATGACATGACCTTACAGATGGCGCGGGGTGGGTCAGGTCCAAACGGGCCGGCCCCGCCAATTCCACGGCTGGGCATCGGGCCATATGACTGGGACACGGAGTGTTTGCGAGGTGATGTTAAAGCTGGGAATGCCACATCCTACCCACAGGCTCTGGGTCTGGCTGCATCATTCAGGTAGAAATATTAAACAAAAAATGAAAAAGCCTTGTTGAGCTGGATCCGAACAACTCAGTTCTGGATAATATAGTTATACTAGACTCAGTCAGGCAGTCGGCCCGCAGTCAGATAGACAGTCGGTCATTTTATAGTCGGAGGATGCAATAGGCTGGCCATCCTGGTTCCTGCCAAAAATAAAGGCACCATTAATTTTGGAAAAGATTCAAGGGATTTTCCTTTTATTGTGTGCATGGGTACATCCCCAAAACTTTTTCGAGCTTTCCAACAACAAAAATGTATACATATCACTGAAAAATGGAGAGAAACAGTACAAAAGCTTAACGTGCCATTTTGATATGTTAGCGCGAATATACATTAAGATGTACATCTGTGCCATGAACAGTGCCCCCCAGCTTTTCGAATTTCCACGGCTGGGCAATTTTTGGATTTTGGTCATCCCCCATCCCCCCACCCCACTCGCCGGCCCAGATTTACGCCCTGCTCCCACCACTAATACAACATTGTCTTCTCTCCCACGTGCCAGAGGGGATTAACGTATGACCTATATGTGCTTGTCTTTTATACACTTCAATTTGCTTTTAAATTTTGATATTCGGGAAATATAGGGATTTCAATCAATAAGGAAAAATTGGGGGTTTGCGGGTGAAGCTTGTTTAAACCCCGCCACTTTTAGTTCAATGATCCACTGTTTTTACTTTTGGACTTTAATTTGTTCATCACGTAGTACGCAATTGCTTCACGATGTCGCCCAGGCAACGGGACAGGAGGTTCGAGCCAAGCACAACAACTTGACACAGCATGGTATCTACAAATCCCATGGTGGCCTGAGCTGTTTTAGTCCTCTCATCAACATCATGATACATCCATTGTGGGGCCGCAACCAGGTAGCCTCCACTAAATGTTAAGTTTGTTTAAATTGACTATTGGAGTCATGTTCAATTCAGTGAATTGTGATACTTAATTGTCTTCAGAAGGATTTTTTTCTTCTGATTTGATCAAAATCAATTAACTTATCATAACCAAATATGTTGTTGAAACTTTACCCTTTTATCCTCTATATATCAAAGCGATATTATGGGGTTGGGAACTGTTTATGTTTTGTTAACTTTTTTCCTTTTCCTTTTTCTACGGACACACTTCAGCCTTGTGGACACTTGACTTTCTTAAGCCTGGGAGTCATAATGTTTTGATCTGTACAGTGTGGCTTTTTAGTCCTAAATTTGAAATATAATTGTCAACCCTTTTCATTGTTTTTAGCTGAAAAAATAATTGTATAGTTTGTAACTTATTCAACTCCAGCAGATCCACTAAACCTTTATTGCTCTTGTATTAGCTTTTAAGTACATATACAATTCAGGCCTGCAAATTCTGAAAATTTACCAAATATAAAAACACGCAATTCCAAAACCTGTCACAAATAAAGTTCATACCGACCTTTTGCTATACACCAGCAAACCAGATTGAGCACTGTGTCTTTCATGTATAATGTCATCTGCTGCTCATGCACATTCAGAGGCGATCTTGTAGATGAAATTCATTCAATTGTACATTCAATCTGTTTAAACAGGAAACGTACGGTGAGGATCCGTTTCTCAGCGGGGAGTTGGCCAGAGCTTTTGTGACCGGTTTACAAGGAAACAACTCCCGTTACGTCCTGGCCAACGCTGGCTGCAAAACCTTTGCTGCCTACGCAGGACCTGAAAACAACCCAGTGTCTAGATATTTATTCAATGCAGTGGTAAAGACCAGTAGCTCTACGTTTGGTATAAGCCTTTAAAAGATAAGTTGGAATATAATTGCATGTGTGATCTGTGCAAACAATAATTTGTGGTTGCAATGATGTGTGCTCATTAGAGAGTGTAAGGCCGAAAAGTGTGATGGGTATGATGCAGTGTTGTACTCGAGGTACTTGATGGATCACAAGTCATGTGATTGACTATTTGTAGGATATCCTTTAAAAGTCAATCACTATATTTGTATACAAACTGTAATCACCCAGTTCAACTTACAAGCCTTTCAAATAAGCTGTGACAGAGGCAATACTTTGTTATCGTTACCTGTTACTTCTGACTGAGATTTTGAATTCAGTAGTGATGAACTTGTGACGGACTATTGTGATGTACTTTTGATCCATTCGAAGTACTTCAACTACAACACTTGATCATGGGCGATCGGTGCACTATGTTGCTTCTTGAGACAATATCTAAGGAGCAAGTGATGCAGGTTTTATTCTGATTGCAAAGAAGCTAGTATAGAAACAGGTGTGAAATCTTCATCATTTCAGACCTAAGAATTCCATACATATATTCCCCAAGCATTAAGATGGTTAATTCGTGATATTTGATTATCTTCTTCCCCAGATATCAGACCGTGACCTCTTCATGACCTTTCTACCCCAGTTCCATGAGTGCGTCAAGGCTGGTAGCTACAGCATAATGTGTAGTTACAACAGGTATAGTGGAACCACGGGCATAGCTAGAGGGTCTGTGTACCCCCATTAATAGTTTTTGTCGCCTGTCGCAAAATGTCGTGTCCGTCGGCAAATGTGCCGGTGAAGGGCACCACCTATTGTCCGATAGTGAACATGATCATCCGCTTTGCAGCCCCCACCCTTTTTCGTTTTTACAGAGGCCGGGTGGCCACAAAAAATATCGTAGCGTGGTCTGTTCGCAAATATGTTGTCACCTCCCCCCCCCCCCCCCCATTCAAGGTTGACTAGCGACGCTCATGAGTGGAACTGTTTATAATGTAATTCAAGTGGCAAAACTATCAGGCTACACTTGAATTTCAGACATTTCCAGCTGTTAATCTTCTTTTGCTTGAATTTAGATGTTAGATTTATTCCCCTTCCCTGAGCAATTACCCTAATTGTGCTTGAGTACGAATTCAAATACATTATTTTTCACATTTTCCCTGCACTTGTGAACATTAAGTGTAGCAAACACTGACAATGTACAAGAAGCAATTCCCCTGGTTGCTAAATGCATGCTGCGACATTTCTTCCTTTTCGTATTAGCATCAATGGAGTACCTGCCTGCGCCAACACACGATTTCTCCGCGACATCCTCCGCAAACAGTTTGGCTTCAAAGGCTACGTGGTCAGCGATGAGCTCGCTCTAGAATTTATTCGCTTCGCACACCATTACACCAACTCCACCCTGGAGACGGCCGTGGTGGCCGTGAAAGCAGGTGTCAACCTCGAACTCTCCCACTTAAAACAGGTCGTGTACCTTTACATTACCGAGGCCGTGGAAAAGGACCTGATTAGTTTGGGCGACGTCTTTGCATTGGTGCGTCCGTTGTTCTACACCCGGATGAGGCTTGGGGAGTTTGACCCACCAGCCAGGAACCCTTACACCAAGCTGCGTGCCGAGGATGTAGTGGAAAGCATTGCACACCAGAATCTTGCCATAGAGGCTGCTGTCCAGAGCTTTGTCTTGCTGAAGAACAATGGCGTACTGCCATTGAAAAGTATTGGGAAGCTTGCGGTAAGATGCACACATTTAATGGCACTGGATTTGGGGGGGGGGGGGAACCGGGTCATTTTCAGAGTATTCTTAAATGTAAGCAGGTGTTGAAGCTTTACCAACTAGTCTGTGAGGTAAACTATTATTAATACTAAGGGGACTATTAAGTCTGAGTACTTGAACAAAGACGTTTGTTTAAAATGTCTAAGCAGGCCTATTTAATTTGCAGAAGGATAACAGAATCTACAATCTGAACTCGAGTCCTGCAACACTTTTCTTGTATACTCGTGTTGGGCTGTATGTCCAACCACTCATACTCAGTCAACACAACCTTTATACTTGGGTTTGATTCCTACAGTACACTTGGGACTCAGAAAACAGACTCAACAGCAACACTGCCTGCCTACAGCAACCAATATTTGTTGATAAACTGATAGATGTTTACTCTTAGAATTATTAACATTTTTTTAAGTCTTCTTCAACAGTGTCTCAAAAAAATTTCAAATATGTTTAGGTCCATTTTGACTCCTTGCATAGGAACTCGGCATTCATCTTAAAAAATTCCGCAAATACATATATTATCAGAATCTAGTGAATTATGTGCTACCCTATTTATTAGTACAATCTTAGTTATTTTGATATCTAGGTTGTTGGTCCCTTTGGAAACGATTCCAGCCAGTTGTTCGGAGACTACGCTCCTGATTCCCTGCCTAAATATATTACCACACCTCTCCAAGGTTTGGAAAGTATCGCTGACATGACAAGCTTTGCGGCCGGTTGTGACAACCCCGAGTGTGCAGGATATAACCAGTCCAGTGTCGTGAATGCCGTTAGTGGTGCTGATTTTGTTGTGGTCTGTTTGGGTTCAGGTATGATGTACCCAAAGAATCATGAAGTCAAATGACCACATTCGAATAATTTTGCCATAGCAGGCAGTTACACATTTGCCTGCTGTGGAAAGTAGCATCAGCCAGATATGGCAATCGGGGTCAATAAACTGCAATACAAGTTGGGAATATATGTATGCAGTTACTCTAATTATGTTTCTCAAAGCCTATGTGCATACTTGTTTCATGGCTGAATTTACTGCATGCATCAACATTTATTGGAAAGGAGTAAACACCAGTTATTCAATTCTGCGTGGTAGATGTTTGCCTTGCCGTAAGATATTTTCCTGTATTTGAAAAAGTTGAATTTTTACCAAAAATTTGGAGCGCTTTTCCAAATATTTACTGTATCAATGAGGTATACGGGCTTTCTTAACTGGGACTTAAGTTAGAAAGCCTTGTGTGATTTAGCTGTATTCGGTTTGGTCATGTAGCATGCATGAACTGGTTTTGCACACATTACCTACGGCACACCGTACATACAATCTGAATGCTCAGACTCAAAGAAACCTTAAGATGAGCAATAATTAAGACATTGGCATGTCCAATGAGACATTTCCTCATCAGATAATAACAATGTCTTAATCTTTTTTGTTGATATTTGATTTGTTAACATTGTTTATACTTGATTTGTTAATATTGGCTGTATGGCATATACGGGTTTATGGCTTCTGACTAGTGCCCTTGAACAAAGATATCGACTAATTGGGGAACCGCCCACATATAGGGCTGGATAACTCAGTTGGTATGAGCACCGGAATACGGTTATCCGGAGGTCGCAGTTTCAAGCCCCGCTCTAGTTAATTTCTTATTTCAACTTTTCAACTATTTAAACATTTTTGATATTGGGTTGTATGCAGGTACGTCCATTGAGAGCGAAGCTAGAGACAGGATGAATCTTACCCTGCCAGGCCACCAACTGCAACTTCTTCAGGATGCTGTGAAAAATGGTAAAAATTCACTGAGTATGCCTTTGCCTGAACAATTCCTAACTTCACACCTTTCCTTACTATTTTAAACAATATACCGTTGAGTTGACATTTGACATTTGTTTTACAGCGGCATGACTTTGATAATACTTTTCTATTTTATCAACCATTATCTAAAGCTAGGTAACATATTTATTAAAACTTGTTTCCTTCTTTGTTAAATTAAAACTATATTTGTTTTGCCAAGGTGGATCTATTTTTACAAAGACTTAAGCTACAGTCCATAACTTGCAGCTATCCAAAAAGTACCTGACGTAATTATTTTTGTAAAACATACTTGGTTGAAAGATAGTAAGGGGACTAAACTCCCTGTGAAATTACTCTTTCTGGGAAGCTGTCATTTTGAAGAAATCAACGAAAGAAGGCCGTGTCCGTTAGTAGTTCGTTTTTTGTATTCGGCGAAGTGCGCGCAAGCGTTGGCACTACTCACACGCGCCCTTTTCTATAATTCGTTGGATCGGTGCGCAACATCGCGTAGCTGCAATCGGCTCAGTGAGAACGTGTCTCGGAAGCTGAATTCAGGCCCGATTCAAAACATGATTCAGCAATTTTTGATTTGAAATCAAGTTCCTAGAATGCTGTTTTTCTCGGGATATACAGCTGAAGCCGAGCTGAAACCTCATCAAGTTAGTTGCTTAGCACCCTTCTTTAGATTTTGAGCACGTTTGTTGCTTCAAACGAACAAAATGCACAAATTACAAACGATGGACTGTACCTTGGTTCCCCCCCCCCCCACTTTTTCCGCTGGGATATCCCCCGCCCCCGTCTTGGGAAGGCATACATTATACACTGCAGTTGCCACGGTCGTCCGGCGTGGGTGGTGCTCCCCACCTCCCCCCTTTCAAACTGTTCTGCCACCACTGACTGAAGGCTTCTAGATTGTCTGCTTCTGTCTGGACCGGCTTGTATATCACAAGTACTTCGACTACTGGACTTACACCAAATCCCCCTCGAACAATAAACAAAAGAAAAACAAACAAATATAAAACCTACCATCAATGCCTTTCACAAACCACAGTTAGTGGCAAGCCAGTTGTCTTGCTGCTCTTCACTGCCGGACCGTTTGACATTTCTTGGGCTGTCAACAACCCCGACGTCTCTGTAATCGTACAGTGTTTCCTGCCAGCCCAAGCTACTGGTGTGGCCATCAGGCACATGTTTACCAACTACCAGGGCACCAACCCAGCTGGAAGGCTTCCTTACACATGGCCAGCATCCATGGACCAGGTATATCTTAAGTCAAAATTAAGTCAAACTTGACTTGCGACATAAAGTTAATCATGATTAGAGCCAGATCTTGATCACATCTGGTGTTCCACAGTCACACCAACCAAAATGTATTGAGAGCCATCATAGCTCATACTAATGTGGTTTTCTGCAGGCAAACTTCGTGTACCAATGTAGAGATTGGGGTTAATTATAAATGTTCTTTAATTTGGGGCAAACCATCTTGAGAACGACTCTTGTCACGTCTAACTAGCCTGGTCGCTATTTTAGGGACTTCTGCCATGTACCATAAGGGTCAGAGGTGATCCTCAGCGAGCGCGCGGGCTTTTGCATACATTGGAAGTAGTGGTGGTTGTGTTGAAGATAGAGATGGATGGAGACAGTTTTGGGCTTGTCATGGCGGCAAAGTAGAAGGGTCTTTCGTCCCTCCAAGAAAGAAAATAGTGCTGTATCGAACCAAGACGAATGCTGCACTAATTTCCAATTGACTTGCCTCTGGAGTCATTTGAGCAACTGCAATAGCCAAGTTTTCTTGTGAAGTTTCTCATAATTGTGTCAAACGTCAAACTTAACTCTAATACTAGGAATGATTTAGTTTGCCTCAAATTTACCAGTCTGAAATCGAACAGAGGTAAAGTTGATTAACAGAATTGCAATGCTGTTCATCACAAGTCAAATCACAAGTTCATCACTTGTAATGTCTCAAGTTACAGGAATGTCTTTATTTATGTACATACAACTTTGGCTTGTGGATTGACTTGAGATAATAGGAGATGCAATTGACTTTGGAGCTGGAACTGACAAAATAACTAACCTGCTTGGACAAAATAACTAATTAAAACGTATTATTACTTGCTCTCTTCTTTTCCATGTTTGCAGGTATCCCCAATGACAAATTACTCCATGGTGAACCGCACCTATCGTTACTTCAGTGGAACACCATTCTACCAGTTTGGTTACGGACTCTCCTACACTAAGTTTCAGTACAGTCAGTTGGTTGTGAAACCAGACCACATCATGCCGTGTGATGACGTTTTTGTGAATGTGACTTTGAAAAACGTGGGCGCATACTCAGGGGATGAGGTGGGTATAGTCTACTTGGAACTAACTTGTAAATGAATTGTGTACATGAACAGTATATCGTGCATCATGACCCCTCGTAAGAGCTGTGTGCGGGATACATTGCATGAACAAACTGGTTTGCCCACATATATATGGTTTAAAGTACACAATTACCATTTGTAAGCATCAACCCGTAGAGTCTTCATGTGATTGTAAGGCGTGAAGCGGCATGCATTCGCGAATCCTGCCTAATTACTTTCTCTTAGCATGAGCGGATACTTGATGAGCATGTAGTACCACTACGCACTTGCTCACTCAAAATGAGTGTTTTAATTATTGATATGATAATTGTGAATGGCCTATTAATCTCTCTGCATTATTACGTTCTGACATGGTGCCTGATTCCCTTGTTCTTCAATGTTCATGGTCTTTTCATTAATTTTTTAAGGTGGTGCAAGTTTACATCAAATGGAGCAATGCCACTGTCCCTGTTCCTAAGATCCAGTTGGCAGCTTTCGAGCGCATCAACACTGCCTCCCTCCAGACTGTCTCAGTCATCCTATCTATTCCGGCCCGCGTGAGAGCAGCCTATACTGACCGTTTGGTCCTTCAACCGGGAGATTTCACCGTCTTTGCCGGTGGTCAGCAGCCTGGCCCAAGCATTGGTGGACGGCTGAACTCCAATGTGATGACCGGGAGCTTCCAAGTGGACGGGTCACAGACAGACCTCGCAAGATGCCTCAAAGTAGATCCAGATGAAACTAAACAGGACATCAACTGCGTATAGCTAAAACATTAATTGGTCTATCCCAAAAAATAAATAAATAAAATCTCGGCATCATACATGTGCATGCTATTCTTTTTGCCGCCAATTTCCAGCTAATAATAGTTAGAGCCCTTTTAAATTAGGCCCCTACTGTTTGGAGCTTTTCCTTAAAGATGTATGCATACATAAACATTCTCCATAAGTAGGAAATTCTGGCTTCTGATCATGACTTGTCTCCACCAAATATGGTATAATTATGCCACTTTCAGTGTTCCAATTGTCAGAATTTGAAAGAAAGAAATATTGCTGTAGCCATAAATTTGTAATTGCATCAAAATGTTGCGCTTAAAATAAATTGTCTTCAAACTGCGGTACTGAGATGCAATTAAGATTTACAAAGTGTTACTGAAATACATTGTGCTTAACAAAATGAGAATTAGTGTTGCTTATTACTTAGAATAGTTAGTTTCCTTCTTGCGTTATTTCCATAGGATAAACCGATTCCTTCCACTGCCGAATCCAACCTTTTAAAAGTAATTAAAGCTCAAGGGTATTGTATCATGGGTTCATAAGTTTTTTTTTAAATTTGATTTGTAATTTGATGTCTATTGTATTGTCTTTGTAAACAGATCGATTGAAAATGACCCGAATGTTTGGGCCGCTGTATATTTTCAATGGACCGCTTGACATTACGCGTGCATTGTCATTTTCGGGTGCAAAGGTCTATTGTGAACACTACAAAGTTATTCTGCCTGTATTTAGAGTACCCGTAGGCTGCCGTCAGTTGTGTTTGTTCAATTTCACCGTTGCTAGTTAGCGTGGTGATGACACCTACCTGAGCGTGACTATCCGAAAGTATATACACGGCACACCTAGCTAGGTACTAATATTGTTTGTACCCTGTACGTACACTCCTTTGGCGGATAATAAAATGACCTTTGCATTTTCCGGTTGCATGTTGTAAAAAGTCATATGCCTTATTGGTTCAAAGATACGTACAGGCGGTTAAAACTGGTTTTAAATTTACTTTTGAACTGAAAATATCGCTCTGAGGTGTTGTTTCTTAAAAGCAGTACCAGTAACTGGTTCAAATGACCAGCTCTGTTAAGGAAAACATTTCAGTGACATGCACGCATCTGTAGTGGTGCTGGTGGTCTCAGAATAAAATTCATAATACCAAAGAATTTGAGTTGAAACTTCTTGCTGCTGATTATACATTCCGCCATGATTGTGCTTGTGCTGCTAGTGGGTACCCTGCCCGCCCTGGTGCCGGTGTCCGCTGATTACTTCCCCTTCATGAATGATTCGCTGTCGTGGGATAAGCGACTGGATGACCTCATGTCCCGTTTTACCCTGGATGACATGACCTTACAGATGGCGCGGGGTGGGTCGTTTCTCAACGGGCCAGCCCCGCCAATCCCACGGTTGGGCATCGGGCCATATGACTGGGACACGGAGTGCTTGCGTGGCGATGCTATGGCTGGGAACGCCACATCCTATCCTCAGGCTCTGGGTCTGGCTGCATCATTCAGGTACACATATCGAAATAATAAAAGACTATACTTGCCTAGTGTTGCTCTGAGTGTTGCCCAGTTCTAAGTGATGCTCAATTTGAGCTGATCAGAGGAATCACAAGAAGAAGACGTCAATGAGTATAAAAAAATATCGAGACTCATTTCATGCTATTATTTATACTCACTGGCGTCTTGTTGTAATTCCTCTGATCAGCTCAACTTGAGCAACACTCAGAATTGAGCAACACTCACAATTGAGCAACTCAGACTGCCCAGTCAGCAGTCAATCAGTCAGGACACAGGCAGTCAGTCAGTTTGTCAGTCAGACCATGGAGGAAGGAATGTACCAAAGGTATATCCATATAGTCAGACATTCAATATACAGTCAGTCATTTAGTCAGTCAGTTAGAGGGCGTGCAACATACTCATATAGCTAGGCAGGTCCTCTGTGTTCCTGCAAAAATTAAAAACAGCATTAATTTCGCAAAGGATTCAAAAATACATGTACTTCCCTTGTGTTTTGTGGGTTCCCCCAAAAAATGCTCTCAGGACTAAACTAAATTGTCTTCTCCCCATCGGCCACAAGAAATGTACGTAGAGGCTATTTTTGCTTTATTTCTTATACAGTTTTCTACGTGTCTTTGCTTTTAACTTTGAAATTTCAGTTAGTATGGAGAAATGCAAAATGTGTGCTTGGTGTGCTTGGGGGCTTGTTAAACCCCAGTTGCCCCTTTTACTTTCTATGGTCCACTGATATTATTTTTGGACCTGAAAGGGAATATACAACATTTGCAAACATCGAAAAATAAAACTGCCAAAATTTTACGAAATACCTTACTAGGATGTTGGAAAATGACAGTTTAAAGCATCCTGTAAAATTATGGCACCTGGTGTGAAGTCATTTTCAAGAAAATGGTATTTTTCTAAAAAATTCCAACAGTGGTCGGCCGACCACCGTTGGAAAAACCTAACTATTTGTCAACTACTGCTCCAAATTTACCATTTTTTTTCAGTCGAAATTTTGTTTGGTATTGGTTACATGTTCATGAACGGGTGCAGGCCAGCCAGACTGGTTCCCTTACCTTACAATTTTCCGGCATCTGTAAATTGATCCATTTTATATTTAGTGGAGTCAGGGAACCAGACTACTTGAACATTTTTGTTTTTCTTGGTTTTTCCAGCATTTTCGAACACAAAACTTTAAACATGTCAGTGTAACAATATTTGATCTATGATACTAACCCCTCAAATAGTTCATTTCTGAAATTTACAGCAAAAGCCAATGATGTATATTCCCTTTAATTTGTTCATCATGTAGTACGCAATTGCTTCACGATGTCGCCCAGGCAACAGGACAGGAAGTTCGAGCCAAGCACAACAACTTGACACAGCATGGTATCTACAAAACCCACGGTGGCCTGAGCTGTTTTAGTCCTGTCATCAACATCATGAGACATCCACTGTGGGGCCGCAACCAGGTAGGCTCCATTAGGGGGGGGGGGTGTTCACTTGTTCAATTTACTGAATTGTGATACTGATCTCCGAGATGAATGCAGCCCAGAATGTGGTGTCGAGTGCTGCCCTTAAGCCATCCCAGACCTGCCAGTCATTGAGGAGGTCGACATGCTGCCAACATTGGAAGAGCTCAGTAAAGCCATTGACTACCTCGCTGACTACCTCGAGGCCTTTGTGGCGGAGCTGGAAATCGGCTAGCTACAACACATGCATGAACTTGTCTGTATCTGCTGGGAGAAGGGCTATGTTCCTCAGGACATGCGTGATGCCATCATCGTCACCTTGTTTAAAAACAAGGGCGACTGAAGTGGCCGCAACAACTATCGCGGCATCTCACTCCTCGGCATAGCTCCGAAGGTCTTCACTCGTGTTGGTGTTAGCCTTAGCACGTCTTCAGAGCCTTGCTTCACACGTCTACCCAGAGTACTAAAGCCCGGCAGATCTACAATGGACGTGATCTTCTCCCTACGCCAGCTGCAGGAGTAGTGTCGAGAGCAGCTAAGACCATGCACTCTACACTTAATGCTTTCATCGATCTGACAAAGGCAATTGAACTAGTGAGCGGAAGCGGGTTCGTCATGCTGCTACAGAAGATATGGGCTGCCCTCAAGACTGATGAGCGTGATTACATGTACTTCCTTTCAAGATGACATGCACAGCATGGTCTGCTGCAATGGCGAATAATCTGGTCTTCTCAGTGAGCAGCGTTGTGAAGCAGGGCTGTGTTCTGGCACCGACACTCTCCGGCACATTCTTGGCTGGGGGGGGGGGGGGGGGGGTGCCAGACAAGTTGGACGTCCCCACCTCTGCTTCAAGAACATCTGCAAGAGAGACATGTCTAGCATAGACGTCCACAACTGGGAAAGCACAGCAGATGACCGGGCACACTGGAGACTTGCAGTTAGAGCAGGCGTGCAGAGGGCGGAGAACACACGGTACGTCAAGCTAGCAGAAGAGAGCCAGACGAAAGGAGAGGCCTGGTAGCCTCGGCTTGACCCCCATCACTATTCACCTGCAGCCACTGTGGAAGGGACTGCCACTCCAGAGTTGGTCTTTTTCAGCCACTCTACAAAGTGCTCTTCAAGGAACCGACTTCCGGTGTGCTATCTGCCAATATGAAAGGATGCCGACGGTCTTCAGAGTGATTTTTTTTTCTGATTTAATCATAGTCAGTTAACTGTAGCAAGTCTTTATAAATATAAAATTAACAAAATATTTTTAAACTTAACGCTTTTATCCTGTATCATACCGATATTATCGTCACTTTAATTTGTCCTTACACCTGTAACTGCGAATCTCAAAATTGGGAGCTTTTTATGTTTTGTTAAAATAAATTCCTTTTCGACTTTTTTTGACACTTCAATCCTATTACTGACATGTACTTCAACCTTGCAGGTTCTTGACTTTCCAAAGCCCAAATGATTTATCAGGTTTGCATCAGTGTAACTTAAGTCCTGAAATGTGTAATTTGCCACATAAAACGAAATTGCACGCCAGCTATGCTTGTCATTGTCAACCCTTTTTCTGGCAGTCCAAAACAAAATTGTCACACATAATGTCCAGACTTGCCTTATATAAAATTTGTTTCAATAGGAAACATACGGTGAGGATCCATTTCTCAGCGGGGAGATGGCCAGAGCTTTTGTGACCGGTTTACAAGGAAACGACTCCCGTTACGTCCTGGCCAACGCTGGCTGCAAACACTTCGATGCCTATGCAGGACCTGAAAACTACCCAGTGTCTAGACATTCATTCAATGCAGTGGTAAAGACCAGTAGCTTTACATTTATGCTTTTAAAAGATGAGTTAGAGTATATTGCCTGGATCTGTGCAACAATAATTTATGGGTGCAATGTGTGCTTAGTAGAGGGGTAAAGTAAAATGGGAGTGATGCAGATCAGCATCCAGACTCCAACCGGCCAAGTACATATAAATTCCCGTTCATAAATACCTTTTCGGTCAAAACATCTAAAAATTTCAGTCCAAAAGTCAAAACAAGTCAACATTTTTAATTTCCAACGATTTATTTCAACGATTTTACTTTATGCTTTTCGAGACACCCCAGTATATCCCTCTCGCGAGTACGTCGTAAACAACTCCTTACATGGAGATGGGCGCACGCGATGTGGCGCAGAACGCAGTTGTGCCGGTGTATTGTGAATTTAGGACTATGAAATACTGACTCACTGGTAGTATTGCGTATGCTTACGAGAGAATTGCGAACGTTCAACCATTAAAACGGTAACAGGCACCGGATTTCACAGGAGTCCAAATTTCATGTAACGCTGGAAAAGTGTTTCAGACCAGCCAGCCGTTCTTTATCAACCGTTTAAAACCGGCCACGTGACGGGCTCTCCACCAGTAGGAAAGGTACTGTATTAAGGTACCGTATTTACGAGTGTGGTTTAAAGAAGCTTCATCATGTATTCTTCCCAGGTATCTGACCGTGACCTCTTCATGACCTTTCTACCCCAGTTCCATGAGTGTGTCAAAGCTGGCAGCTACAGCATCATGTGCAGTTACAACAGGTACAAGTGGAACTGTTCATAATGTGATTAAAATGTGATTCAAATATATCCGGTTGCCTTGTTGTGTCTGAATGTAGATTTTGTTAAAGACAGGGTTTAAGGTTGATTCCCCTAAACATGAGCAATTATCCAAATTGTGCTGGAGTATACGTAACTCGCATAACCATCAATTTGAGCATTTTCCCTGGAAGTACACATAGTAGTTGTGCACAGTACACATTTTGGGCAAATATTGACAATGTAAAAGGAGCCAGATATTTCCCTGGTTGCTAATTGCATGCTGCGACATTTGTTCCTCTTCGTATTTATATATAGCATCAATGGAGTACCTGCCTGCGCGAACACACGATTTCTCCGCGACATCCTCCGCAACCAGTTTGGCTTCAAAGGCTACGTGGTCAGTGATGAGCTCGCTCTAGAATTTATTCTCACCAAACACCATTACACCAACTCCACCCTGGAGACGGCTGTGGTGGCCGTGAAAGCAGGTGTCAACCTCGAACTCTCCAACATCATAGACGTCGTGTATCTTAACATTACGGAGGCCGTGGAAAAACATTTGATTAGTTTGGACGACGTCTTTGCATTGGTGCGTCCGTTGTTCTACACCCGGATGAGGCTTGGGGAGTTTGACCCACCAGCCAGGAACCCTTACACCAAGCTGCGTGCCGAGGATGTAGTGGAAAGCATTGCACACCAGAATCTTGCCATAGAGGCTGCTGTCAAGAGCTTTGTCTTGCTGAAGAACAATGGCGTACTGCCATTGAAAAGTATTGGGAAGCTTGCGGTAAGATGCACACATTTCATGGCACTAGAGGTGTGGGGGTGGGAACCGGGTCATTTTCAGACTATACTGTAAGCAGGAATTGAAGCTTTACCAACCCTTTACCCTTCACCTTATGAAGTAAACTACATGTAGTATAAGTACCAAGGAGGCTATGATTTATGGGTATAAGTCTAAGTACTTGCACAAAGAAATTAGTTTAAATTGTCCAAGTAGGCCTATTTGCAGAAGGATACAATAATCTATCATCTGAGCCCGAGTCCTGCAACAATAGTTTTCTTCTTGATTATTACAAACCCTAATAATTGAAAGGCTGTATGTCCACCCACTCATACTCAATCAACACACCCTAGGCTTAGTTTGACTCGTAGAGTACACCTGGGGACTCAGAAAACAGACTCAACAGCAACACTGCCTGCCCCTACAGCAACCAATTTCAACTTAGTGACATTTATTATAAAAATTGTTTAACTTCTTTTAAAACTCTTTTTAAACAGTCTCTCCAATTGGCTAGCGACATTTTGGCTACTTGCATAGGATCTCGGATTTTTTTTCTCAGAAAATTTTGGGCAAAGTATTATCAAAATCTAGTAAATTTCGAACTACAGTACTCAATAGAGTACAATCTTGTTTGTTATTTCGATATAGGTTGTTGGGCCCTTTGGAAACGATTCCAGCCAGTTGTTCGGAGACTACGCTCCTGATTCCCTGCCTAAATATATTACCACACCTCTCCAAGGTTTGGAAAGTATCGCTGACATGACAAGCTTTGCGGTCGGTTGTGACAACCCCAAGTGTGCAGGATATAACCAGTCCAGTGTCGTGAATGCCGTTAGTGGTGCCGATTTTGTTGTTGTCTGTTTGGGTTCAGGTATGATGTGCACAAAGAATCATGAAGTCCAATGACCAAATATCTTTGCCATAGCAGGCAGGTACACGTGTGCCTATGGAAAGTAGCATCAGCCAGATGCAAACGGGGTCAGTTAATACAGTACAAGATGGGAATGTACAGTTACTCGAATAGTTTCTCAAAAGTGTGCAATCTTGGTTTCTGGCTAAATTTACTGCATGCATCATGAATTACTAAAAAAGGATCATAGGAAAGGAGTAGACACCAGTTGCTAAGTTCTTGCACAGTGGATTTTTATTTGCCATCAGGATATTTTCCTGTATTTGAAAAAGTTGAAGTTTTACCAGAAGTGATGAGTTGGTTCAAAATATTTACTGTATCAATAAGGTAAAGGCTTTCTTGATTGGACTTAATTGAGGCACGTCTATTTTGTGATTTAAGCTGTACTAATGATTTGCATGTACCATGCATGAACTGGTTTTGCACACTACCTACGTCGCAGGTATAATTTTCATCCGAATGCTCAAAGTCACAGAAACCTTAAGATACCTTAGGTGAGCAATTCAGACATTGGCATGTACAATGATGTATTTACTTATTAGATAATAACAATGTCTCAATCTCTTTTTGTTGTTCATACTTGATTTGTTAACATTCTTTAAACATTTTTGATATTGGGTTGTATGCAGGCACGTCCATTGAGAGCGAAGGTAGAGACAGGAGGAATCTTGACCTGCCAGGCCACCAACTGCAACTTCTTCAGGATGCTGTAAAAAGTGGTAAAAACTCACTGATTGTGCCTTTACCTTGAAAAATGTTAACTTCACACCTTTCCTTACTATTTTAATTTAAACTGCCCTTGAGTTAAACGTTTGACATTTGTTTTACAGAGGCATGACTTTGATAAGACATCAATGTTTATCAACCATTATACATATAGCTAGGTAACACAATCTGTAAAAACTTGTTTTGTTCTTTGTTAAATTAGAACAATAGGCTTATCTGTTTTGCCAAGATGGATATATACAAGGACTTAGGCGGTGTTGTAGTCAAGGCACTCTTTACACTCTTTGGTATCATGGTCCTCGATTGTGGAACACTAGTGATCCCATCATTAGAACACTGTCTTCCCTGGGGCGATTGAAATCTTTGTACAAGAGATTCATCCTGTCATTGTATGCAGCAAAGCTCCCATCCTGATTTTCCATTTGTATAGTTTCATCATGTCCATCTCGATTTTTTTTATACCGTTTTATGTTATAATAATATGATGGTTCCCCTTTTTTTCTCACCCTCTTTCTATTTATCTGTGGTCTGTCATGGGTTTGTAACTTTTTTTGTCTTCTTGTGAAACTTGTCCTTGTTTGTCTTCTTAATCTGCCCCCGCCCCCGCCCCCCCCCTCTCCACGGATTACTGTTAATGTCTGTGTTATTCGTATTTATGTACCATGCAGGCTGCAGTCTCTACAAGCTTATAGGCTTACTCGAACAGTCCCATACTCTTTTGCTTCTGCCTAATACCTAATTGTTCATTACTGCATGTCACTTTGTTGCTTACCAGGTTAAATATGCTTAGCTTAAGAACGTTTAATTTGTTGATTGATATGATTTTACACTTCTTATAATGTCACGAGCCATCCAGTCGCATCCCTCATCATCTGACAAACTCAAATTAACTATGACAAAGGCATTCTTCATCCCGTTACCTGTGACTGCACTCCTAGATTTACTTGTGATTTGCTTGTGTCTAGACTTGAAATGTACTTGTTGTCCATCACAAATACTTCGACTGCTGGACTTAAGAACATCGAATCCCCCATCCACAAAAAAGACAACACAAATAGGAAACCTACCATCAATTCCTTTCACAAACCACAGCTATTGGCAAGCCAGTTGTCTTGCTGCTCTTCACTGCCGGACCATTTGACATTTCCTGGGCCATCAACAACACCGCTGTCCCGGTGATTGTACAGTGCTTCTTTCCAGCCCAAGCTACTGGTGTGGCCATCAGGCACATGTTTACCAACTACCAGGGTACCAACCCAGCAGGAAGGCTTCCTTACACATGGCCAGCATCCATGGACCAGGTATACCAAAAATGAAAATTAAGTCTAACTTGACTTGCGACATAAGGTTAATCATGTTTTTTTTTTGTTTTCTACAGGAAAACTTCGTGTTGTAATGTCGATATGTGGGTTTATTGAATTCGAACATGGGTAAAAATTGCGAATTGCACAGGAATGTATATATGTGAATAGCTTGCGAATTGACTTTAGACAAAAGGAGCTGGAACTGACAAAATAACTAACTTGCCTTAACAAAATCACTCACTGAAACGTATTGTTACAGTGCTCTCTTCCTTGCCATGTTTGCAGGTACCCCCAATGACAAATTACTCCATGGTGAACCGCACCTATCGTTACTTCAGTGGAACACCATTCTACCAGTTTGGTTACGGACTCTCCTACACTAAGTTTCAGTACAGTCAGTTGGTTGTGAAACCATTCCACATCATGCCGTGTGATGACGTTTTTGTGAATGTGACTTTGAAAAACGTGGGCTCATACTCAGGGGATGAGGTAGGTATAGCCTATTCTTGGACCTATAACTTGGAAATGGATTGTGAAGGCCTACATGAGCTGTATACGGTGCTTCACTCGTATAGAGCTTTGTGTGTGGGACACATTGAATAACCAAACTGGTTTGCTCATACATGGTTAAACTTTAAAGTACGCAATTACCATTTTTAATCTAAATAAGCATCAACCCGTATTGACTTGAAGTGGTTGTAAGGATCGAGTACAGCAGTAATGCATTAGCGGATCCTGCCCAACTTTCTCTTTGTCAGCATGAGGGGTAGGCCTACTTGAACACAAGAGTTCATAATACCACCTACGCACTTGACACAAAAAAATGACTTTGGTGTTTTAATTATTTATGTGATGAATCTCAATGATATTGTGATATCTCTCTGCATATATGTTCCGACATGGTGCCTGATTCCTTGTTCTTTATTATTTATGGTCTTTTCATTACTTTTTTGAGGTTGTGCAAGTTTACATCAAATGGAGCAATGCCACTGTCCCTGTTCCTAAGATCCAGTTGGCAGCTTTCGAGCGCATCAACACTGCCTTCCTCCAGACTGTCTCAGTCATCCTATCTATTCCGGCCCGCGTGAGAGCAGCCTACACTGACCGTTTGGTCCTTCAACCGGGAGATTTCACCGTCTTTGCCGGTGGTCAGCAGCCTGGCCCAAGCATTGGTGGACAGCTGAACTCCAATGTGATGACCGGAAGCTTCCAAGTGGACGGGTCAGAGACATACCTCGCAAGATGCCCAAAGTAGATCCAGACACAGGACAGCAACTGTGTATGACTAAAACACTGCTCTATCAAAAAACAACAACAATAAAAAGCCCAAATCAGAAACTGTGTTTCCCATACATTAAAAGTACTCTTGCAGTGGAGCTCATTAGTTTGATTTCAACAGGGTTGTTTGCCCTGTTACTACATGATTTACAGTGTTATTTTAGTTCACAGATTTATTGCTTTTCTTTTTTCTTCCAATTTCCAGTAAATAATGGTTAAAGCCCTCTTAAATTCCTGTTTTCAGCTTTTCCTCAAATTAAGATGCTAGTCTGTATGAGGATCGGACATTAAATTGTGCAGAGCCACACGAACAAACGTCTAGCATGCATTTTTTCCTAGCGTGCACATTTTATGCGACCCCGCGCGCCAGCCAGTCGGAGTCGACTTTAGAAATTGTGACGGACTTTTCGATCAGAAACATGGATTAAGCTGTTGATTGGTCAATTTGGCTGCCACGTTTTTGTAAAACAACAACGGATTATAGGGAGGACCCGGTAGAAGGCGCTCTTTGAATGGTCACAATCTGGATGTCAAGACGCAGTCTTGTTTTGCATTTCATCGCCGAAAGTGCACGAATATCAAAGACGCTTGCAATTCCCCAAAGCGCCTGTTCCGTAGACTACTAAGATGTAGAAAGACATAAACATTCTCCGTGTAAGTAGGCAAACTGCCTTATGATCATGACTTGAAACCTCTAATATTCACGCCACCATAGATGGTAATTATGCCACTTTCAGAGTTCTCAATGATCTTGGCTTTACATGTATATTGAAAACAATATTCTAGGATCTCGATTTCAATTCAACAGTTGCCGAGTCGTATTTTGAATTGAGCCAGAAATCAGCATCCGGACACGTTCTCATTCAGCGAATTACAGCTACGGGATGTCGCGCACTGAACTGAACCATTGAATAATAGCAGCCCCGCGCGCGCGCGTGTGCGTCATGTAAACGCTTGCGCACGTCACCCGTACACGGATTCGCCGAATTACAAACCAACTACTAACAGAAATTTCCAAATAATGCGTCACTGGACTCATCTTTGGAAATCACCTTCTTTCTTCCAAATGACAGCATGCCAGAAGGAATAATTTTACAGTGAGTTTAGTGCCATTGCTATCTTTTAACCAAGTAGGCTTTGTAACAACATTTTGGTCAGTTACTTTTTGGAAAGCGGCAAATGATCTACCTTTAAGGCTGTAGGTAAAATATGCCGTTGTCAAATAAACGAAAGAAAAGTTCTCCTAGGTCAGCTTCCTTATACAGTGTACTGATTTAAATGTGTTGATTTGTGATTTTGTGTTGATTTAATTAGTTAATACATTTTGAAAGTTTGTACAGGTATATTGCATTTTGATCCCATAAATGACGAGATTGTTCTGATGTTGATTCCTTTTATAAGCTTTCGTGACTCTCCGAACCATTAAGGCCTGCCACCACAATGATGGCGAATGAAATAATACAAACAAAAACATTTACGGTCTATCACGTTTCGCACGTATTCGCACGCAAATCCGCATATACCTTTCTAAAAATGCACGAGGAAGAGCACGTACCAGATGTTTTTCCTCTGGCAAGGAAGAAAATATTGCCAAATATAATGCCAGAGACATTTCAAACAGTAACCCCAACGCCATGCGATATGCCGTGACCACAGTACGTGCTCCAGTGCATGCATGCACATTCGTGTATTTCCGTATTGTCAGTTCAGTACAACTGTTCTGAAGACAAATTAGTTTTAATTAATTATGTATATATTTAAATTACATGTACTTATGTATGGCATGGATCCATTAAACCATGCCCCGTGATATGTTTTGACCAATGTGATTAATATCTATACGTCGTACTAAAGTCTGACAAGCGTAAGCGTGCGAATGGCTCACATGTACATTAATTTAAACGAGCCGCTTTTTTGTTCCGGTATAGCGTGAATATCCGACTCCATGAAATGTGGACTCATTGGTAGTACTGCGCACGCGTGAGTACGATACTATGGTATTGTTAGGATCGTTTCGGGAGAGTGACCTGTCAAGTGCGAGGGATCAACCAATAATAGGGAAATAGGGGACAGATTTTCATAGGAGTCGGATTTTCATGTGACACCGGCCTTCACTGCATATGCTTATTAGAAGGAAGAAATAAACTTTTGTTCCTCATGTCGAAATCCGATCATGACCAGTCAGTTTTACTTCCTCATTCGGCGCGATGTGTGTAAAGCCGTATAAACATGGGAAACCCCAAGAATATCCATTTACGGAATTGGAAGTTTGCCATGTTCATATAAAAAGGCAGGCGTACCCATAACTCGGCATTAAGCAGCGAGGACTCCAAAGAAAGCTCTCAACGGTGATTGTTCCGTGTGCTGTGTTGTTGTTCACGCCCAAACTTCGAGAATGACGCACTTTGTGGCCATGTTCCTTGCCACCGCCCTTGCTATCCTTCATAGCACAGTCGCCTTGCCTCCTGACTACGACTCGTCGGTTCTGCGCATGTCGCAAACCAGTAAGTTCGTTGCCTCATTTTTTCTGTCAGTTTCTGTGTTAATGGTTATCGAGATAATAGAGAAAGATCAAAGTTTACATATTAGCTTCACACATTCTTGAAAGACAACTCCCCCCCAAAAAACACCCTGGTTACTACAAGGACCAGAGCGGTCTGTCCTAGAATAATTTATAGACAAATCTAGGCGCACTGGTTTGCTGGTTAGCGCTTCTATTTTTTTTAAAAGGGAAAGAAAATCCGAATTTCAAAACGTTCGAATTCCTTTTTTTCCTCGTTTTTTATTTTCATCAAAACGCCATAGTGTACTACCATATGCGGATGTCGTTTGGGAGAAAAAAATCGCCCCCCCCGGGCTGTGAGATGGTCAAAATAACCCGGCCCTTTTAGGGTAAAGATACAGTGCATGCAAATTTTACAAGTGAGTTTTTTCCCACTGTAGATTGTTATACAGACAATATGGAAATGTATAAAAGGGGTGCAAAATTTGATTCCTAATACTGACATACGAAGTACGAAACCAAGATCCTTAATTCTAACCCTGTATAGGGTTCGAAAACCATAATGTGCTCCGGACTGCATGCGTGGGTTTAGCAAGTCATATGTGCGGTTCACCAGTGAAGTAGGGGCGGATTCGATCATAGTTTCAAATTATATAAACCTCTTCGTACTGTCTTTTTTCTTTCCCATAAATTTCTGCCGTCATTAAACGGTCAGCATTAACCAACTGGATCACGACTTTTGGTCAGGTGACCAGTAACTAGGTATATAGTGATAACGGCTAAAGAGATATTACGGCTAGAATCGGAACGGTCCTTCTTCATGTGTTATTATTTGGTAATATTATCGCTACATATTTTTATGTAGATACTTCGTAGTTGGCCTAGATGTTTATTGAAGTTTAATTATGTGTTCGTGTTCAATTTCAATTGTTTACTCACGGGGGCTTGGCCAAGTACAAGCTTCGGCTTTCTTCCAGCCTCCACCGTTCATCACGTTTATTTGAAATATTTATGATGAAAGAAAATAAATCAAATCAAATCAAGTTAACTAAGAGGGGAGGGGAGCACAAGCTAGTTCAGTGGAACGCCGCTATGACAAACATCGCGGGATCCACAGAACGTCTCAACGATCGTTCGGTGTAGGGATTTTGAACCGCCGGTACCCACTTTTGACCAATAGCTAGTGAAATGGCATGATTTCTCACATCCCCCGGCTGCACGAGGAGACGTCACAAAACTTTAGCAACGGGTGGTTTCCCTTATATTCCTTGGGGGAAAAATAGCCATCTATCGCTCTTCAAAATTCAAGCACGATGTAACTATGGGTCGCTTGTTGTTCGGGAATTAAAAGTGGCCCAGATAGCGTTTAATATACAACCGGTAGATTTTATGATCATCTGTTGACTTCTTTCAGCAATGATGTTCAGTACGTTTTGCACATTAAAACTGAGAGCCAAGGATGATGTTCGGTATAGCCGAATGTTCGGTATAGCGCTGTTCGGTATAGCGACGTCAAAATAGCTTTCTGGAGGAATTAACAAAATCAATTCTAAGATCATTTGGAAAACAATTATTTTTGGAAAATTATTTCGATATTAAATTGGCCGACGCAACATCCACTCTAAAAGGACCAGTTGGGTGTAGCCTATGATATTTTTGGATGTAGCCTATGAGATTTCTTTGTCTAAGAATGAAAATCTTGAAAGCAGTTTGGCAACTTAAGAACGTCAGATTACAATAGTGTATGCAGGACCTCTTCATGATCACTGCCAAGAAAAAATAATCACACATAGATTTCTGAAAATTCAAACAAATCAATTCACCGTGGAAATTCAAAAACCACTGCCTTTTGGCACCCAGTAAAAGTGCACCAAATCGGCCTTATGCACAAGTTGGACATTTTTGTTGAGTCCCCTGAATTTATTTCATAAATTGTCAACTTTGAATGGGATGGCGCCAGACTATTTATGAAGCCTTATTTTATGTGTATTTTTTTTCAATCTGGCATAAAACATTACGGATTGTTAAATTACAAATTTTAAATTATTCATTGAAGTAGACTTGAATTAATTAGTAATTTACTTGCTTTCATTTCTTTTCGCAAGTTCCAAAAATGAAGATTTTGACTCACATTCAATTCAAATATGGCTGACTCGTGCATAAGGCCCATTGCAGTGAATCACATCATCTGCACGTACCCTGGCTAAGGCCTGCACGTACGCAGTCAGTGACGGAAATTGCAACCAGGAATTATTTGGGTAAATAAATATCAAGCCTCTTCTTTCATTCTCGGAAAAGCAAACGAGGAAACAGTTTTCTTGTTTCGATATTGCAAATCAGTGACCTTTGTCGGAAAGGTTCGTTTATAGGCCTGCACTGTACAATTACATTCTTATTCTGATGGATGAGGTGGAAACTGTTCTTTTTAATAGAATGTATATCTAATTGTCTATTAACAATAATAATCAAATGACATTTAAATGTTGCCTGCACTGTTTAAAAAAATGGGTTAAACAATTGCAGTGTTTTTTGCGTAACATTAGCAGAAATCACCTCAAGTGTCAACCTCGTCCCCAGGGCTTACTATATTTTCAACCTCGTTTCCATAGTGAGCCCCTGGAATCAGCGGCGGCGGAACGGCTTTCAAACTTGCGGGGGGGGGGGGATCACCAAAAAGGGCCACTTGCTGAGTAAAAGACAGTCATCTTCCGTCGGTGCAGCAGCGTATCTTGCATTTTTTTGGGGGTGGGGGGGGGGGGGGGGGGACACATCCGTGCTGAAAATAATGTCGACACGGTTTTTTTTCACCGAACATTTTGCCTCGGGGGGGGGGGGGGAGGGGCTCTCTTCAAAACCGACCATTAACTACGCATTATGTTACGGTTTTGGGGCTTGGTTTTCATATTCCTCGTTCATAATCAGAACTCTCTATTACATTTTGGGAAATGGTTACTGAATAAAATTAACTGCAATTTTGGACCAGTTTTGTTTTCAGCTCGAGGGGGCAGATTTATGCTCGAGGGGCCACATTTATGTCCGCAAGAGGAATACCTGGGTAAATCTGGGGGCGGGCAAGTGCCCCCCTCCCCGCCCCCCCCCCCCCCCCGGTTCCGCTGTCCCTGCCTGGGATGGAAACTTGCTTCCTGTATCCTGATTCGAAACTGCAATTAGCAGGAAATGGATTTATATCGTGTACTTGGTGTTGTTATTTCTAACGTGTATTACGTGTTTTCACTCGGGGCACGCGTGGCACGTCCTAACCGAGCGGATATCCACCTCCTCCCCATGTTCCCCTTATGACATTTTGAATTGAAAACAAATATAGGGCCTACTGCACGGTTGAGATGACACGTTTCATTGCATGCCATTAGTGCCCCCTTTACTGATGCACCCCTCCCCGACGTTTGAATCTTTAGCCTACGCCGCTGTCTACTGCAGGTTTATTCCGTCCGCCCCCACTGATAGACACAGATAGGTTCTAGCAATTAAGGCGTCTTTACGTCGATAGCCAAAGCCCGGAGGCAAAGCAGACTAGCTCGATGCAGTCCTCATGTTACATTTAACCCTGGGCGGCGATCGGGGGAGGGGGGTGTCTGTCCCCGCCTTTTCCGAATGCGCCAAAAGGCGCTATCTCCCCACACGCCATATGTTATCCCAGTACACGGTTGCATACATTTTAAATCTGCACCAAACTTATTCAAAATCGTTGTGTGCAAAGGTTCTGAATTATTGTTCGCTCTTTGATGGTAATGCATGCAGCACTGGGTGTAAAAGGAACATGTGCATTTATAGAACAAGATCGAACAGTGCCCCGGGAGTCAGATTTGGTCTAGCCCCGCCCCCCCCCCCTCTTCCTAACCCCACCACTCTTCACTCTACATCCCCCACCACCACCCCGTCATTTCCCAAGCTGCTGGTTCACCGTCCCCAGTGTTGACAAGTAATCACAGTATAGAACAAGGGCGGATCCAGAACACAATTGGGGGGGGGGGCCAAAAAAAATTGTGTCTCCCAAAAAGTGGGTCAAAAAATTACTGCGTGGGGTTCGGGGCCCGCTTAAGGGCCCCGAATTTTTTTTGGATTTTCTATGCTCTGTGGTGCGATCTGAGGCAATTTCTGACCACTTTAGCCAATGTTTTTTGAGGAAAAGATGGTGGCGTACTCATTGCCTGCCTTTATTTTCACGTCACATAAAAAAAACACAATTGGTTTCGTTTTTTTTGGGGGGGGGCATGGCCCCCTTTGGCCCCCCCTGGATCCGCCCTTGGTATAGGAACCGAAACGGTTAAATTACAAATTTTAAATTATTCATTGAAGTAGACTTGAATTAATTAGTAATTTACTTGCTTTCATTTCTTTTCGCAAGTTCCAAAAATGAAGATTTTGACTCACATTCAATTCAAATATGGCTGACTCGTGCATAAGGCCCATTGCAGTGAATCACATCATCTGCACGTACCCTGGCTAAGGCCTGCACGTACGCAGTCAGTGACGGAAACTGCAACCAGGAATTATTTGGGTAAATAAATATCAAGCCTCTTCTTTCATTCTCGGAAAAGCAAACGAGGAAACAGTTTTCTTGTTTCGATATTGCAAATCAGTGACCTTTGTCGGAAAGGTTCGTTTATAGGCCTGCACTGTACAATTACATTCTTATTCTGATGGATGAGGTGGAAACTGTTCTTTTTAATAGAATGTATATCTAATTGTCTATTAACAATAATAATCAAATGACATTTAAATGTTGCCTGCACTGTTTAAAAAAATGGGTTAAACAATTGCAGTGTTTTTTGCGTAACATTAGCAGAAATCACCTCAAGTGTCAACCTCGTCCCCAGGGCTTACTATATTTTCAACCTCGTTTCCATAGTGAGCCCCTGGAATCAGCGGCGGCGGAACGGCTTTCAAACTTGCGGGGGGGGGGGGGGGGATCACCAAAAAAGGCCACTTGCTGAGTAAAAGACAGTCATCTTCCGTCGGTGCAGCAGCGTATCTTGCATTTTTTTGGGGGGGTGGGGGGGGGGACACATCCGTGCTGAAATGTCGACACGGTTTTTTTTCACCGGACATTTTGCCTCGGGGGGGGGGGGGGGGAAGGGCTCTCTTCAAAACCGACCATTAACTACGCATTATGTTACGGTTTTGGGGCTTGGTTTTCATATTGCTCGTTCATAATCAGAACTCTCTATTACATTTTGGGAAATGGTTACTGAATAAAATTAACTGCAATTTTGGACCAGTTTTGTTTTCAGCTCGAGGGGGCAGATTTATGCTCGAGGGGCCACATTTATGTCCGCAAGAGGAATACCTGGGTAAATCTGGGGGCGGGCAAGTGCCCCCCCCCCCCCCCCCCCCCCCCCCCCCCCCCCCCGGTTCCGCTGTCCCTGCCTGGGATGGAAACTTGCTTCCTGTATCCTGATTCGAAACTGCAATTAGCAGGAAATGGATTTATATCGTGTACTTGGTGTTGTTATTTCTAACGTGTATTACGTGTTTTCACTCGGGGCACGCGTGGCACGTCCTAACCGAGCGGATATCCACCTCCTCCCCATGTTCCCCTTATGAAATTTTGAATTGAAAACAAATATAGGGCCTACTGCACGGTTGAGATGACACGTTTCATTGCATGCCATTAGTGCCCCCTTTACTGATGCACCCCTCCCCGACGTTTGAATCTTTAGCCTACGCCGCTGTCTACTGCAGGTTTATTCCGTCCGCCCCCACTGATAGACACAGACAGGTTCTAGCAATTAAGGCGTCTTTACGTCGATAGCCAAAGCCCGAAGGCAAAGCAGACTAGCTCGATGCAGTCCGCATGTTACATTTAACCCTGGGCGGCGATCGGGGGAGGGGGGTGTCTGTCCCCGCCTTTTCCGAATGCGCCAAAAGGCGCTATCTCCCCACACGCCATATGTTATCCCAGTACACGGTTGCATACATTTTAAATCTGCACCAAACTTATTCAAAATCGTTTTGTGCAAAGGTTCTGAATTATTGTTCGCTCTTTGATGGTAATGCATGCAGCACTGGGTGTAAAAGGAACATGTGCATTTATAGAACAAGATCGAACAGTGCCCCGGGAGTCAGATTTGGTCTAGCCCCGCCCCTCCCTCTTCCTAACCCCACCACTCTTCACTCTACATCCCCCACCACCACCCCGTCATTTCCCAAGCTGCTGGTTCACCGTCCCCAGTGTTGACAAGTAATCACAGTATAGGACAAGGGCGGATCCAGAACACAATTGGGGGGGGGCCCAAATAAAATTGTGTCTCCCAAAAAGTGGGTCAAAAAATTACTGCGTGGGGTTCGGGGCCCGCTTAAGGGCCCCGATTTTTTTTGGATTTTCTATGCTCTGTGGTGCGATCTGAGGCAATTTCTGACCACTTTAGCCAATGTTTTTTGAGGAAAAGATGGTGGCGTACTCATTGCCTGCCTTTATTGCCACGTCACATAAAAAAAACACAATTGGTTTCGTTTTTTTTTGGGGGGGGCATGGCCTTCTTTGGCCCCCCCCCCCTGGATCCGCCCTTGGTATAGGAACCGAAACGGTGCACTTTCAATTATTGGCTTATAAAGTACCGTGGCCTTGAAATTGAGACAGTGAGCAACTCGGCCACTGAAACTTTGATTTCCTTCTACGAATTCAATTAATTGGCACAGTCTTACCTCCTACAAGGAAGTAACGGAATTTCGCAATAATGTTGTGTCTGCATGCATGCAAAGACACTGATCACACGGTGCCGAACAGGTCAAGTGCGCAGTGGTTGACATCACTAGTTATTGTATTGTATACTCTCCGAGAAAAACAACCGAGAAAAAAAGTAAAACACTAATATAAAAGATATGGGTGACTTTTCTAACAAAGCACTTTCAAATAAACTTTTTTTTATTTCCTTGATAGAGAAGTTCACTTTTGATTTACGGAAATAAAAACAAATCAAATCTAGTAATAAATAATATTTTTGTTTGGGTCGTATTTCAGCAAATAAAAAATGGTTCTTGACTTGAAATCTGGCATGGTGACGTTTCATATTTCAGACATTTTTAAAAATTTATACAAAATTTGGACAGTTGAAATAACAATGATTTCACTTTAACCTTTTTTAAAGCCATCAAAGGTTCATACCTCTTGCAAAAGAAGTTGTGACTGATGTGAAACAAGGTTAAAATCTGAAATCTAAAGAGAACTCATCATCAGTTGGTATGGATTAATTAATATACTAAATAATATAATTAATAGTTTAAAAAAATTACCCTCTGCTCTTCGGGCTGATATAGGCTACACCACACCAGCTGGACATGTGTTTGGAAAATCCTAAGTGTAGCATGTTAAAAACGCTCTTTTTAAGCAGGTTTTCAACTAATTTCAATGCTTATGTATCAGTGTATTTTTAGTTTGATTGTCCTGATAGATGTATTTACTTCTTAACCTCTTTTAAACATTAGATTTAAGTTGTTTTAAATCTTGCTATTTTAATGTTAATTTCTGTGGTACATGATGTGATCTTTTATGAAGACCGCGCAACACAAATTGTAATGCATTATTATTAGTATTATTATTGTATAATTTAGGTATCTCTTTTATCCATTGTCTTTGCAGACCAAGTCAAAAGCGACGAGGTAGCATGGTCGCACCTGTCAGAAGGCCGGTCGTTGGTGGGTGCTCCTCCATGCTCGTGCAAGGCAAGGAGTGCGGATGCTGTCAACCAGTCAAGATTTCCGAGCTAGGAATCGACACAAACGGTACGACACCCATTGGTATTTCGCGACAGATATTTTAAGGTCTGATGGAATCTTTTGTTTTCCCTATATCTCCCAAAATGAGAAAACCGTGAATTAAGAGGACATGATTTGTACTTCAGCCTGGTGAATTGATGTTCGTGCACATGGGGTCATTTAGAAGAATTTTGAACATACGGAGAAAGTCGGACTTCAACAATTTTGTTATCAATGTTGTTCTACGTGATCTGAGGATAAAAAGGTCAAACCTGCCTTCGTAAAAACTAAATAAATCTGGTACTGGTATTAGTTACTTCTTTTTACAGAAAAGCAAATATTTAACTCTTTCACCAACTAAAACTGTAAGGACCAGACGTTTTAGAAGGAAAATTGTTCGGTTTGATTGAAATCACTCGAGTGCAAACTAATTTGCTTCATTGAATTTAACATTGAATGCAGTCTTTTTATTTCTAAATAAATAAATAATGATTCCCCCCCCCCTAATTTATGTACTGCAGCTTGTGCCAATGTGACTTTCCTCTCTGAGCAAATCGGCGCCAAGTTGTCCCTCTCCTTCGGCGGGAAAGTCCTCTTCGAGAAAACTGTGTCAGGTAAGAGTACCTTAAATTAATGAAGCAACGGATTCAACACTTGAAAATTATGTTGTAAAAGGCTGTCGTGTTGTCAGATACTGTAAGGGAGATGATTTTTATTTATCTATGTCACAGTTAAAAATCCCGACCCGGTCTGCGTGAAATTCCATGGGAAGTTTGGCGCGGAGATCTGCGGCGAGTTGTACAAGTTGTCGGTATCAACGGAAGAATTCGACGCATGCGCCCGACTGGAAGGCAAGATCCTGGACAAGACAGTGGCCACGGTCGACTTGGGCTGCTTCAAGATGCCCTTCAAAAAGACCAATCAAGGTTAGAACAGACTCGGGATTTTTGAATGTCATCAATGTAAATTTCTTGTAATCTCCTGCTGTGAAAAAACGTCTTTGTTTAATAATGAATTAAGAATGATTTCACTTGTAACATTTTAAGAGCCATCAAAGGACCATACCTCGTTCAAAAGAAGATGTGGCTGATGTGAAACAATATTAAAATCTCAAATCTAAAGAAAACTCATCAGTTGTGATGGATTTAAATGACCTACTGTGGCCAAATGAGGAATGTCCCCCAAAACCTCGTTTTGAGTAACGCCTAAAGTCGGATATAGGCTACTACGAAAATCCTGACAAAGGAATCTTGAGTTTTTTGTATTTGTGAGTAGCCAAGGTAAACAATATTTACACTATGTATTTTTTTTGTGGGGAAAAATAACCCCTAAAGTGGACAGACTGAAGAACTTGTTCAATGCCTTTGGCGGCGCAATGCGTATCTTTTTTCAAAGTCGTATTTCTCGAAATCAGGTGGGCGAAGTTTGGTGGGACACTGTTGACGTTCCTGTTGTGTATCTGGAATAAATCAAGCTGCAGAAATAGATTCGGTGTCATTGGAAAGCCAATGATTTGCGCTTGGACAAGAAGTATTACTTGAAAAGTCACAGGTGTTTTTTTCCTCATTATGCTATGGCAGGTCACTTGTAAACCATGGAAGAAAGTATAACGAAAATAGTCAGTTGCGCGTAGTGTACAAATATGACCCTCTAAACTCCCCGGTGTAATATACACCACGGCAGCTGGATATTATAATTTCCAACGAAAAAGTGTGTAGAATTCCTAAGTGAAGAATGTTACAAACGCTGGGGCGGGTAGACCCTTTTCATCAGCAGCCCCAGAAGCGTTCAATCAGTTTCCTACCTTCTCAGTCCATTGAGATTTTTAAGCGTAAAGTTAAGACTTTATAGGCCCTATCTTTTGAAACTGGCTTTTAACTAATTTTGTTGCTTATGTATATCAGTGAATTTTTAGTTTGATTGTCCTGATAGACATTTGAGATGTACTTACTTCTTAACCTCTTTTAAACATTGGAATTTATTTGTTTTAGTTCTTGCTTTTTTATGTTAATTTCTGTGGTACATTATGCGCGATTTATCATTTTGATGAAGACCGCGCAAAAATACAATTTTAATTCATTATTATTAGTATTGTATAATTTAGGTATCTCTTTTATCCATTGTCTTTGCAGACCAAGTCAAAAGCGACGAGGTAGCATGGTCGCACCTGTCAGAAGGCCGGTCGTTGGTGGGTGCTCCTCCATGCTCGTGTCAAGGCAAGGAGTGCGGATGCTGTCAACCAGTCAAGATTCCCGAGCTAGGAATCGACACAAACGGTACGCCACCCTCTGGTATTTCGCAACAGATATTTTAAGGTCTGATGGAATCGTTTGTTTTCCCTAAATCTCCCAAAATGAGAAAACCGTGAATTAAAAAGACATGATTTGTACTTCAGCCTGGTGAAATGATGTTCGCGTACATGGGGTCATTTAGAAGAATTTTGAACATACGGAGAAAGTCGGACTTCAACAATTTTGTTATCAATGTTGTTCTACGTGATCTGAGGATAAAAAGGTCAAACCTGCCTTCGTAAAAACTAAATAAATCTGGTACTGGTATTAGTTACTTCTTTTTACAGAAAAGCAAATATTTAACTCTTTCACCAACTAAAACTGTAAGGACCAGACGTTTTAGAAGGAAAATTATTCGGTTTGATTGAAATCACTCGAGTGCAAACTAATTTGCTTCATTGAATTTAACATTGAATGCAGTCTTTTTATTTCTAAATAAATAAATAATGATCCCCCCCCTAATTTATGTACTGCAGCTTGTGCCAATGTGACTTTCCTCTCTGAGCAAATCGGCGCCAAGTTGTCCCTCTCCTTCGGCGGGAAAGTCCTCTTCGAAAAAACTGTGTCAGGTAAGAGTACTTTAAATTAATGAAGCAACGGATTCAACACTTGAAAATTATGTTGTAAAAGGCTGTCGTGTTGTCAGATACTGTAAGGGAGATGATTTTTATTCATCTATGTCACAGTTAAAAATCCCGACCCGGTCTGCGTGAAATTCCATGGGAAGTTTGGCGCGGAGATCTGCGGCGAGTTGTACAAGTTGTCGGTATCAACGGAAGAATTCGACGCATGCGCCCGACTGGAAGGCAAGATCCTGGACAAGACAGTGGCCACGGTCGACTTGGGCTGCTTCAAGATGCCCTTCAAAAAGACCAATCAAGGTTAGAACAGACTCGGGATTTTTGAATGTCATCAATGTAAATTTCTTGTAATCTCCTGCTGTGAAAAAACGTCTTTGTTTAATAATGAATTAAGAATGCTTTCACTTGTAACATTTTAAGAGCCATCAAAGGACCATACCTCGTTCAAAAGAAGATGTGACTGATGTGAAACAATATTAAAATCTCAAATCTAAAGAGAACTCATCAGTTGTGATGGATTTAAATGACCTACTGTGGCCAAATGAGGAATGTCCCCCAAAACCTCGTTTTGAGTAACGCCTAAAGTCGGATATAGGCTACTACGAAAATCCTGACAAAGGAATCTTGAGTTTTTTGTATTTTTGAGTAGCCAAGGTAAACAATATTCACACTATGTATTTTTTTGTGGGGAAAAATAACCCCTAAAGTGGACAGACTGAAGAACTTGTTCAATGCCTTTGGCGGCGCAATGCGTATCTTTTTTCAAAGTCGTATTTCTCGAAATCAGGTGGGCGAAGTTTGGTGGGACACTGTTGACGTTCCTGTTGTGTATCTTTGGATAAATCAAGCTGCAGAAATAGATTCGGTGTCATTGGAAAGCCAATGATTTGCGCTTGGACAAGAAGTATTACTTGAAAAGTCACAGGTGGTTTTTTTCCTCATTATGCTATGGCAGGTCACTTGTAAACCATGGAAGAAAGTATAACGAAAATAGTCAGTTGCGCGTAGTGTACAAATATGACCCTCTAAACTCCCCGGTGTAATATACACCACGGCAGCTGGATATTATAATTTCCAACGAAAAAGTGTGTAGAATTCCTAAGTGAAGAATGTTACAAACGCTGGGGCGGGTAGACCCTTTTCATCAGCAGCCCCAGAAGCGTTCAATCAGTTTCCTACCTTCTCAGTCCATTGAGATTTTTAAGCGTAAAGTTAAGACTTTATAGGCCTTATCTTTTGAAACTGGCTTTTAACTATTTTGTTGCTTATGTATATCAGTGATTTTTTAGTTTGATTGTCCTGATAGACATTTGAGATGTACTTACTTCTTAACCTCTTTTAAACATTGGAATTTATTTGTTTTAGTTCTTGCTTTTTTATGTTAATTTCTGTGGTAATTATGCGCGATTTATCATTTTGATGAAGACCGCGCAAAAATACAATTTTAATTCATTATTATTAGTATTGTATAATTTAGGTATCTCTTTTATCCATTGTCTTTGCAGACCAAGTCAAAGGCAAAGAAGTAGCATGGTCGCACCTGTCAGAAGGCCGGTCGTTGGTGGGTGCTCCTCCATGCTCGTGTCAAGGCAAGGAGTGCGGATGCTGTCAACCAGTCAAGATTCCCAAGCTAGGAATCGACACAAACGGTACGCCACCCTCTGGTATTTCGCAACAGATATTTTAAGGTCTGATGGAATCTTTTGTTTTCCCTATATCTCCCCAAATGAGAAAACCGTGAATTAAAAAGACATGATTTGTACTTCAGCCTGATGAATTGATGTTCGTGCACATGGGGTCATTTAAAAGAATTTTGAACATACGGAGAAAATCGGACTTCAACAATTTTGTTATCAATGTTGTTCTACGTTATCTGAGGATAAAAAGGTCAAACCTGCCTTCGTAAAAACTAAATAAATCTGGTACTGGTATTAGTTACTTCTTTTTACAGAAAAGCAAATATTTAACTCTTTCACCAACTAAAACTGTAATGACCAGACGTTTTAGAAGGAAAATTGTTCGGTTTGATTGAAATCACTCGAGTGCAAACTAATTTGCTGCCGATTGAATTTAACATTGAATACAGTCTTTTTATTTCTAAATAAATAAATAATGATCCCCCCTAATTTACGTACTGCAGCTTGTGCCAATGTGACTTTCCTCTCTGAGCAAATCGGCGCCAAGTTGTCCCTCTCCTTCGGCGGGAAAGTCCTCTTCGAGAAAACTGTGTCAGGTAAGAGTACTTTAAATTAATGAAGCAACGGATTCAACACTTGAAAATTATGTTGTCAAAGGCTGTCGTGTTGCCAGATACTGTAAGAGAGAAGATTTTTATTTATCTATGTCACAGTTAAAAATCCCGATCCGGTCTGCGTGAAATTCCATGGGAAGTTTGGCGCGGAGATCTGCGGCGAGTTGTACAAGTTGTCGGTATCAACGGAAGAATTCGACGCATGCGCCCGACTGGAAGGCAAGATCCTGGACAAGACAGTGGCCACGGTCGACTTGGGCTGCTTCAAGATGCCCTTCAAAAAGACCAATCAAGGTTAGAACAGACTCGGGATTTTTGAATGTCATCAATGTAAATTTCTTGTAATCTCCTGCTGTGAAAAAACGTCTTTGTTTAATAATGAATTAAGAATGATTTCACTTGTAACATTTTAAGAGCCATCAAAGGACCATACCTCGTTCAAAAGAAGATGTGACTGATGTGAAACAATATTAAAATCTCAAATCTAAAGAAAACTCATCAGTTGTGATGGATTTAAATGACCTACTGTGGCCAAATGAGGAATGTCCCCCAAAACCTTGTTTTGAGTAACGCCTAAAGTCGGATATAGGCTACTACGAAAATCCTGACAAAGGAATCTTGAGTTTTTTGTATTTTTGAGTAGCCAAGGTAAACAATATTTACACTATGTATTTTTTTTGTGGGGAAAAATAACCCCGAAAGTGGACAGACTGAAGAACTTGTTCAATGCCTTTGGCGGCGCAATGCGTATCTTTTTTCAAAGTCGTATTTCTCGAAATCAGGTGGGCGAAGTTTGGTGGGACACTGTTGACGTTCCTGTTGTGTATCTTTGGAATAAATCAAGCTGCAGAAATAGATTCGGTGTCATTGGAAAGCCAATGATTTGCGCTTGGACAAGAAGTATTACTTGAAAAGTCACAGGTGTTTTTTTTCCTCATTATGCTATGGCAGGTCACTTGTAAACCATGGAAGAAAGTATAACGAAAATAGTCAGTTGCGCGTAGTGTACAAATATGACCCTCTAAACTCCCCGGTGTAATATACACCACGGCAGCTGGATATTATATTTTCCAACGAAATAGTGTGTAGAATTCCTAAGTGCAGAATGTTTGGCTGCATCCGAATCTGTTGTCTAGAGCTGGGTCTAGGTCTTCGCTCCATTAGAAATACGCGGAGACGCGCTGACAATAGACGTAGCCGTAGCTCTGGAAGCCCGTTTCGGACACGGCCTTACAAACGCTGGGGCGGGTAGACCCTTTTCATCAGCAGCCCCAGAAGCGTTCAATCAGTTTCCTACCTTCTCAGTCCATTGAGATTTTTAAGCGTAAAGTTAAGACTTTATAGGCCCTATCTTTTGAAACTGGCTTTCAAATAATTTTGTTGCTTATGTATATCAGTGAATTTTTAGTTTGATTGTCCTGATAGACATTTGAGATGTACTTACTTCTTAACCTCTTTTAAACATTGGAATTTATTTGTTTTAGTTCTTGCTTTTTTATGTTAATTTCTGTGGTACATTATGCGCGATTTATCATTTTGATGAAGACCGCGCAAAAATACAATTTTAATTCATTATTATTAGTATTGTATAATTTAGGTATCTCTTTTATCCATTGTCTTTGCAGACCAAGTCAAAAGCAAAGAAGTAGCATGGTCGCACCTGTCAGAAGGCCGGTCGTTGGTGGGTGCTCCTCCATGCTCGTGTCAAGGCAAGGAGTGCGGATGCTGTCAACCAGTCAAGATTCCCGAGCTAGGAATTGACACAAACGGTACGCCACCCTCTGGTATTTCGCAACAGATATTTTAAGGTCTGATGGAATCGTTTGTTTTCCATATATCTCCCAAAATGAGAAAACCGTGAATTAAGAGGACATGATTTGTACTTCAGCCTGGTGAATTGATGTTCGTGCACATGGGGTCATTTAAAAGAATTTTGAACATACGGAGAAAGTCGGACTTCAACAATTTTGTTATCAATGTTGTTCTACGTGATCTGAGGATAAAAAGGTCAAACCTGCCTTCGTAAAAACTAAATAAATCTGGTACTGGTATTAGTTACTTCTTTTTACAGAAAAGCAAATATTTAACTCTTTCACCAACTAAAACTGTAAGGACCAGACGTTTTAGAAGGAAAATGGTTCGGTTTGATTGAAATCACTCGAGTGCAAACTAATTTGCTTCATTGAATTTAACATTGAATGCAGTCTTTTTATTTCTAAATAAATAAATAATGATCCCCCCTAATTTATGTACTGCAGCTTGTGCCAATGTGACTTTCCTCTCTGAGCAAATCGGCGCCAAGTTGTCCCTCTCCTTCGGCGGGAAAGTCCTCTTCGAGAAAACTGTGTCAGGTAAGAGTACTTTAAATTAATGAAGCAACGGATTCAACACTTGAAAAGTATGTTGTCAAAGGCTGTCGTGTTGCCAGATACTGTAAGAGAGATGATTTTTATTTATCTATGTCACAGTTAAAAATCCCGACCCGGTCTGCGTGAAATTCCATGGGAAGTTTGGCGCGGAGATCTGTGGCGAGTTGTACAAGTTGTCGGTATCAACGGAAGAATTCGACGCATGCGCCCGACTGGAAGGCAAGATCCTGGACAAGACAGTGGCCACGGTCGACTTGGGCTGCTTCAAGATGCCCTTCAAAAAGACCAATCAAGGTTAGAACAGACTCGGGATTTTTGAATGTCATCAATGTAAATTTCTTGTAATCTCCTGCTGTGAAAAAACGTCTTTGTTTAATAATGAATTAAGAATGATTTCACTTGTAACATTTTAAGAGCCATCAAAGGACCATACCTCGTTCAAAAGAAGATGTGACTGATGTGAAACAATATTAAAATCTCAAATCTAAAGAAAACTCATCAGTTGTGATGGATTTAAATGACCTACTGTGGCCAAATGAGGAATGTCCCCCAAAACCTCGTTTTGAGTAACGCCTAAAGTCGGATATAGGCTACTACGAAAATCTTGACAAAGGAATCTTGGGTTTTTTGTATTTTTGAGTAGCCAAGGTAAACAATATTTACACTATGTATTTTTTTTGTGGGGAAAAATAACCCCTAAAGTGGACAGACTGAAGAACATGTTCAATGCCTTTGGCGGCGCAATGCGTATCTTTTTTCGAAGTCGTATTTCTCGAAATCAGGTGGGCGAAGTTTGGTGGGACACTGTTGACGTTCCTGTTGTGTATCTTTGGAATAAATTAAGCTGCAGAAATAGATTCGGTGTCATTGGAAAGCCAATGATTTGCGCTTGGACAAGAAGTATTACTTGAAAAGTCACAGGTGTTTTTTTTCCTCATTATGCTATGGCAGGTCACTTGTAAACCATGGAAGAAAGTATAACGAAAATAGTCAGTTGCGCGTAGTGTACAAATATGACCCTCTAAACTCCCCGGTGTAATATACACCACGGCAGCTGGATATTATAATTTCCAACGAAAAAGTGTGTAGAATTCCTAAGTGCAGAATGTTACAAACGCTGGGGCGGGTAGACCCTTTTCATCAGCAGCCCCAGAAGCGTTCAATCAGTTTCCTACCTTCTCAGTCCATTGAGATTTTTAAGCGTAAAGTTAAGACTTTATAGGCCCTATCTTTTTAAACTGGCTTTTAACTAATTTTGTTGCTTATGTATATCAGTGAATTTTTAGTTTGATTGTCCTGATAGACATTTGAGATGTACTTACTTCTTAACCTCTTTTAAACATTGGAATTTATTTGTTTTAGTTCTTGCTTTTTTATGTTAATTTCTGTGGTACATTATGCGCGATTTATCATTTTGATGAAGACCGCGCAAAAATACAATTTTAATTCATTATTATTAGTATTGTATAATTTAGGTATCTCTTTTATCCATTGTCTTTGCAGACCAAGTCAAAAGCAAAGAAGTAGCATGGTCGCACCTGTCAGAAGGCCGGTCGTTGGTGGGTGCTCCTCCATGCTCGTGTCAAGGCAAGGAGTGCGGATGCTGTCAACCAGTCAAGATTCCCGAGCTAGGAATTGACACAAACGGTACGCCACCCTCTGGTATTTCGCAACAGATATTTTAAGGTCTGATGGAATCGTTTGTTTTCCCTAAATCTCCCAAAATGAGAAAACTGTGAATTAAAAAGACATGATTTGTACTTCAGCCTGATGAATTGATGTTCGTGCACATGGGGTCATTTAAAAGAATTTTGAACATACGGAGAAAGTCGGACTTCAACAATTTTGTTATCAATGTTGTTCTACGTGATCTGAGGATAAAAAGGTCAAACCTGCCTTCGTAAAAACAAAAAAAATCTGGTACTGGTATTAGTTACTTCTTTTTACAGAAAAGCAAATATTCACTCTTTCACCAACTAAAACTGTATGGACCAGACGTTTTAGAAGGAAAATTGTTCGGTTTGATTGAAATCACTCGAGTGCAAACTAATTTGCTTCATTGAATTTACCATTGAATGCAGTGTTTTTATTTCTAAATAAATAAATAAATAATGAACCCCCCCCTTGATTTATGTACTGCAGCTTGTGCCAATGTGACTTTCCTCTCTGAGCAAATCGGCGCCAAGTTGTCCCTCTCCTTCGGCGGGAAAGTCCTCTTCGAGAAAACTGTGTCAGGTAAGAGTACTTTAAATTAATGAAGCAACGGATTCAACACTTGAAAATTATGTTGTAAAAGGCTGTCGTGTTGTCAGATACTGTAAGAAAGATGATATTTATTCATCTATGTCACAGTTAAAAATCCCGATCCGGTCTGCGTGAAATTCCATGGGAAGTTTGGCGCGGAGATCTGCGGCGAGTTGTACAAGTTGTCGGTATCACCTGAAGAATTCGACGCATGCGCCCGGCTGGAAGGCAAGATCCTGGACAAGACAGTGGCCACGGTCGACTTGGGCTGCTTCAAGATGCCCTTCAAAAAGACCAATCAAGGTTAGAACAGACTCGGGATTTTGAATTTCATAAGTGTAAATTTCTTGTAACCTTCTGCTGTGGAAAACGTCTTCGTTTAATAAGGAGAGACCGATTGATTAACAGGTGTACGAGTTGTCCAAAATGGGCTAAAAAACACATTGTCTTGACACCGGGCATAATTGGCACTAGTATGCAAACTTTCAGTCACCTGAATAATAAATATGACAACAGTTTTTCATACAAAGATCTGTCAATATCTTATTTTCATTTTACAGGAAGATACTATCAGTATAGCTCGTCAAATGCAGCTAAATAAAGACAAATAAAATATCGAAGTAAATTAAACAAAAAAAAATCAATTGATTCGAGTACCCTATGCGAGTCAAAGGCATGCACATGTTTCACATCTGTTTTATTTCACAACAGTTTGGCAGGCAACTTTCTCTTTTGTTAAAATTGAGGATCGGTCGATTACATGAAACTAAAACCGTAATCGTATTTCCCTTGTTTTCACACCACGAGAGGATCGTATTTCGTCTTTTGTCTCTTTCGATAAACAAAACTGTATACTTTGGTTGCACAAGATTCTACATCAGCTGCGAGTACGTTAAGCCAAAAAAAAAAAAGTCTCCGGTTTCTGGTTTGCGCGCGCGTTGCCGTAGCCATGCGCGTCGGCAAAATGAAAAAGTTTTTTTTTCAGTGAAAGATGATGTCTCAAAACCGCCAAACTCACTGGTTTGACTGGAATCCTGCTGCACAATTTTAACGTGTTTTTAGATGGGGTTATGATCGAGAATAAGCTTTATGTGGCTCTCTGGACTCCCAAATATTTGCACTAAGTTTAGTCGGGCACCATTTGCAGTCATCAGCCGACATTTGAAGCAAAAATGTCCGAGGTAAAAAAAAAAAAAAGCCGCGTCGCCGCACCACTTTTTGGGCAAGCTCCATACCAGAAACCGGAGACTTGTTTTTTGGGGCCTTAGCTTGATATTTTTGCCAGATGACTTTATAGTCACCTGATTGTCACCTGATTAAAACCTCCAGCTATTATGGAAATACCTCTAGTGCTCCACCGGGAAAAAAAATGCACATTCTCTTCTTTCAAGGGTGAGAGCAAAAGTACTGTTCTTCTTACAACTCTGTAAGATGTATTCTGAAAGGGAAAGATCACGTGAGACTATGTATTTTTGACGGAATGAATTGTGGACCATTCACAAGACATCGAGTGACTTGTTTGGGGGAATTGTGTGTGGTGAAATGTTGCTGCCCTTAGCTGAGAATTGAGAGTTTAATGCATCAGTACAGAGGGTCTTCTCAGGACGTCTTGGGTCTTCTCAGGACCGGGGGGGGGCGGGGGATTGTGCCCAATCCTAATTTCCAAATGCGGCGGCTGATTTTCCTAAAATTTAGCAAGAATGTTGCGTGGCCATGAACTTATATGATGACATAATTTGGTTGCGCTGCGGTGTCCACAACATTAAAAGGGCGCTGGACCCTAGTTTTCCCCAAACAGGATTTTGGGCATTATTCTACAATTTTTGCATTCAAAATGCTTTCAAATTTGATACAAACATTTTTGGGTCAGTACCCAAGGGGGGGGGGGGGACATCTTTTGACGCTAGAGGCGGATGTATTTTTTCCTTACCAATTTGTTCACATTTCATAAAGCCGTTGATGGGTTAAGGGAATTAAGGGGATTGAAGTTGAGTAAATTAAAAAAAACCACTTCCTTGGCAAGCAGCAAATTTCGGGGTTTTTTTTTCTGGGGGACACATATAGGGGGCACTTTTTTTTGGGGGGGGAGGTTGGAAGGGGGGCAAGTGCCCCCCATGGCGCCCCTTTTCATCTTTGTTCGCAATTTTGTCCCAAAATTTGATTGATTTTTTGTTTGCAATCAAATTGGCACTCATGAAGTACTTATGGGTAGTGTTTTAAATTCAAGAACTGTAAAAAAAAAAGTATCGGAAAACAAAGACATTTGTGCTGTAGAAGTGAAAATTAAAAGCTTCTCTTCACGCGAACGGCAGCCATATTGGATTACCAGCATGTATTGTATAGTTGGTCACGTTATCATGAATTTTAGTCTAAAGTGGATACTTGAGGGAAAACATGGTTTTGATTCACAATATAAATGCATGCTATATTTTTAATGACCCCGATAAAAGTGAGGGAAAAGTCACCAAATAAGTCCAGGATCCGTGATCGGCCAAAGCTTTCTGGAGATTTTTTTTTTTGGAGGGGGGGGGGGGGGGGACAGATGACGGTGGCAAAATGACGCCTATGTGTAATACATATATCATTTTTTCTTATTCATGTTATTAGAGTCTCTACTGGAATCCCAAGGCATATCTGAATGGTTGGACCTGGCACCTAGCGGAGGTGTGAATGGCCCCTGCGCCTGTTCTCAGGATCAATGCGAATGCTGTCAACACATCAAAATTAAGGAACTCAAGATCGATGACACAGGTGATTTAAACATTCTGGGCTAGAGTTTTAGCTCTGCCAGAGTCTTTACAGTCCTTAGAAGATACCTCATGGGTGTTCTTCGGAAGCGAACTTGAAAGTTAAACCGTTTGTACAACAAAGAACACTCTGAGATACCTGCATACATACTTTCTTGAGTATGTCTCAAGAAAGATATTTGGCTATAGGGCCATCTCAGATTTCTCCTTTGAAGAAATGTTGGTAGAATAACAAGTAATTTTAAAAACATTTAAAAATGGTTGCCATTGCTTCTTATTCTACCAATGAAAGATGATAAAAAAGCTTTAATTTGATGTGTGTCTCGAACACATTGGAGAGTTGTGAGTATTTTCCCCGAATTTCTGAAGTGGGAGTATTTATCATTGGGGTCCATGGAAGTTTATTTACTAATCTACAACCGTAACTGGCCCTGTGGCCAAATGGATAAGGCATCTGACTACGGATCAGGGGATTCCAGGTTCGAGTCCTGGCAGGGTCGTTTTTGGTTAAATCCATGTTACGATGGGTTGGGCTACCGGTCGGTAGGGTCTATGTTCCATTTTGCACGGTCGAACTGACAAAAAGAGACAGTGTTAGATCAAGTTAGTCTACATAGCGACGATGCGAAATATTCTTTGTTTTACAGGACCAGCCTTGCTTTTTAATTGTTTATTCCCTAACTTCCCAGGGGATGTGCAAAACTATATTGAAATTGGAGGATTCAGGACTGTTGGGGCTATACATAACTATGTCCTTCGAAATGCATATGGATTTTCTTCCTCATAAATTTGCATTGTATCAAACCGTAACATATTGAACTTCTAGCGTAAAAGGGTTCGCAAAGGCAACGTATATGAGGCTCATGTGTAAAGGATAAGGGCTCTTTCAAAAAGAGGTAACAGACCATTTCGCTAACCACTTAAACCCGGATAAGCACACGATTTCAGGATTGGGGCAGGGCAATTTCCACTGTGAAGTTACACCAACGATTATTTTGTGCTTTGCCTGCTCCCTCTTCTTTTGTGCCCTGCAGTTTGCATCCAAGTCCAGTTCTTGTCCACCGCTGTCGGCGTGTCTCTGACCCTTACCATCGATGGGAAAGTCATCTTCAGGAAGACTCTGTCACGTAAGTAGAAACGTTAAGCAGCACGCTCTTAAAGTAAGAGCGGGATCACATTATTCATCTTGTTCACTGCAAACAGCGCTACACAAATCATTCACACTATGTATATAATACAGCAACATAATGGTGATTTATTTTAAGAAATAATTATCATTAGCCACTACTTGCAAAAACAATACTTGCAATGTTCTCGTAACACAGAATTTGCTGACAACTACTGCACCGATGGTAGCACGAATTTGACCAGTTAAAGATTTATGAAACATTTTTGCCGAGATGCAGGAGGAGGGGAAGTGGATGTCATTTTGTTTTTGCGAATTAGCGAACGATATTGATGGATTTCAAATTAGTATTGAAACCAGGGCTCGTGGTGCGGATTAAAGATGAAAAGTCCCATTGTGTATATATAGTTGTACAGTGTGACACTGAGAATCGGCTCGGATGCTCATTGAGGATTCGCCTACAGCATGTAACTCAGGAAAGTCGCCTCGCCAATAGAAATGTCTTAAAATTGGACTTGAACTTTATAACCATTATGCCAAATGCTAATTTGTTTGGCTGGCATATTCTTCTATCATGCAGTAAAAGACCCACCCCCAATCTGCGTTTCTCTGGCCGGCGGCAAGTTGTGCATCGCCCTCTACGACTTGGCCGTGACTCCAGAAGCCGTCAGCGGCTGCGGCCGCCTGGAGGCCAAATTCTTCGGTGTTACCGTGGCTAAAGTGAAGCTGGGCTGCTTCAAGATCCCCCTGCACCAAGCCCTCTATGCCCGTACTCCAGAGGGTCTGCTTTACCTTGGCGATGTGACTGAGACGCTGACTGGACCGCTGATGATGGGCGGGGAGCTCTCTGCGGAGAACTTTCCCTTGACTATTGTGCTGGAGTCCTACTCGTCTGGTCGCGATGAAGAGAAATAAGGAATGAATCGGACTGACAAAATAAATATCTTAGTGAATTATTTCATTGTTATCCCAGATGAATTATTTTGACACTTTTAAAAGGCTTGGAAAATTATGTCATACTTAATTTTAATTAGTGTGCCATACGCCTTACAGGCTAGTATGTGTGAACTTGTTCTCGCATAATGAGTAGTGTTTGATTGCCAAGTTGCGGCCTTGTTTCTTTATAATTATGCCAAAAGTCAGAGTACTGAAAGCAATTATCCTGCGCCGACCATTTTTTTTTTTTGAGTTCTTTCAATTGTCATAAGTTTATCCATGCAGGTTTAGGCTAAATCTGAGTATGGTTATGATCGTGAATGAACGGGAGTCAAAGGCGATGTCCCCCCCCCCCCCCAAACAAAAAAAATTATCCCAGTGCCTATAGATTTTAACAAAAATGCAGGCCTACACAAATTTGCACTGTTGTTATAATTGTGTTATAGCTCTATAAGATATGGCTTGCTGCTACTTAACAGTAGGCCTATACTGAGGGTAAACAAACGCGTATAGTAAATGCATGGGGAAAATGCATGGCCAACATTTTGAACTGCGCCCCCTATAGAGCCAGCTGCAAATATTGTATATGCAGGCTAGTAAAGCCAGTGACCGTAATACGCATGTGTGAAACAAATTACGAGAATTAATCAATCATTTTATGTCACATGATGACTTAAAATAACTTCTTAATAGTATATATTCCACGGCAGATAGCGTGGCTATGGTAATCCGGTGGTCCAAATGCGGCAGGTTGCGGGTTGGAATCCTAAAGGGAGGTTAAGTCTGAGAACTTTCCGTTACTGACGCAAGCGCGTTACGACCATTGACTCATACTTTGTCGCCGAAACCGTAATACCTTATCAACAAGGAAGCCATTTTTGATCGTGTTCCCTGAATCTATTTTATAAACTGTTGAGTGGGATGATGCTGGACTTGATTCATTTTTTTCTGTGATCCCTTTGGTCAGGAGAGTCCCTCGACAGAGACTTTGTCTCTTTTGGGCGATCCTTTGGGAGCTGTTAGGTATTTTTGTTTTCTGTTGTTGTCCTTTAATTTGTATGTTTTGGTTTTTACTGTTTATTCCGAGAAATAAAGTAAATGCGCATTCCAGGGCTCACTTTAATTTTTTTTAATGACAGTGTGGCTTAAAACATTAAGGTATGTTTACTCGCAAATTTTAAATTATTCATCAGAGAGGACTGTTTTTAATTTGTAATGAACTGTTATTTTATTACTTTAAGTTCCACCCGCAAGTTCCAAAAATGAAGAGTTTACCTCGCTTGCAATTGAATATGGCCGACTCGTGGATACAGTCTATTGCTTTTCGAATTTCCCAAGTTGCCTGTCCCTGTTCCCAATCCAATTCTATGTTAACAAGAAATTGCCGCTCCTGATGAAGACCACTGTGCTTATTACTTACAGTAAATATGTTAGATATACCAACATTGTTCTTCGCCTTGAATGAAGTAATTATCTTTAATGTGACAATTTTGTTTCGAAAAAAAATAATTTAAATGATTTTCAAAAATAAACAAAGATGTTTAGACTTCTTCAACTGGAACAGAGGAAGAAGTGAACTTAACTGAAGAACGCATTTACTTTAGTGAAGAAAGCTTACAGTGTATAATGGAGGCAGCTACATGTAGCTATATTACAGATTTATATTTGGCTTTTCGCTTGACTGTAGCCTAACTAGCTAAAATGTGAATGGATTACATAATTTTCTCCATATTATATAGCCGGATTTATCTAATTAATTTCTGAAATTTAGTCTCCCGTAGGATCTTTTCTCAACAAAGAAGCACGTGATAAACTCAACTGTAAGGAAAAATAAAACATTGAATATAAATAAACTTGATGTAACCAGAATCAATAGCTCTGTATCAATATAAAGATGCTTAGAATTAAATGCTTTGAAAAAGACTCGGCTTGCACCGTTCTGCAAAGAAAGGCTTTTTCGTCTGTTTGTTTGATCTTTTTTTTCACACAGCTATCATGGTAAAAATATCGACGGAGCAGCTGCTATATTCCCAAAAAAACATGACTAACAAATCAGTTGTGCTGAGGGTTAACATTTTTTAATGATTAACCTTTCCAAATTTGGCTTAATTAAACATTTTGTTACGGATATTATTATCAATTTAATCTGACCCTCAAAGTTATGTCTTTTCGAGGCCACCGTTGATTTTGATAGTCTGGCACCAACATTGAGTTGCTGTTTGTCCACGACAATACGCGTATTGAGCAGGGAAGGTGACGGTAGCACATCCTAATAAAAATTGCATGTTTTTCGCGGGAGAGAAGTTTTTTTTAGCAGACCTTTGAAAATCGTTTTGATTGAATGATAAACTCCTTCTGCAATGTCAAAGATCAAGTCAAGGGAAACGTTGTCTTCGAGTGAGTCTGGCAGTGACGAGGAGTATCAGGTAAGTCCTCAAAATGGGTCAAGTCTGTGGACCGAGTGTGACTCTGACTCGGGCTTAGTGTCAGTGTCATAGATGTCACTTAGCCCCATAAATGTGGCCAATTTACTGGACTACCTCCGTAAACATAGGCCACACATCCACATGTACAAAAACGTGTCGCACTTTGCCAAATATTGATTTTCACATTTAGGCTTAGTTTGTAGGGTTTTTTTGCTTTAGAAGCATACTCACCCTCTTTATTAGACCTAGCCCCACTAGTGTGGCCGTCGGTATGCTGCGCTGAACCCAAGGCCACACACCGTGGTCTGCGCACTACTGAGGACGTTTTCATAATTTCAACAGCGAATTTCTTACATATGGTTGTATTCTACGATGTCCCAACTTTCACTTCTGGGATGCTTGGGTGTAATGATGTTCAATTTTCCGAGATATTCTTGAATCTTTCTGGAGCCCGTGAAACGTCGTGAAACGTCTGGTGAAACTGATGGCAGCCATTTTGAATGTGACAAGAGATGACCTCAAGCTGTGACATCGCGTTTATGCAAATTGCTTGTCGAGCGAGGGCGCGAGTTGCAAATGCGACGGCTGTTTCCTGTGCCGTAGATCCTGAATAGAGATCAGTGCACGTGGCCCCTAGACAATAAATGCATGGTACAAGTGGCCAGGATGGAAGCGAAGTTTGCAGTTAGGGTGACCGTTTTAGCCGATTTTCTGCTAACTTTGACAATTTTTTTTTTTTTAAAGACGAGTTTGACCGAAAATGTGACTGAATGTATATATTTTGCAGATTTCTGGCAGAAATGTGCACTTTGTGATGCAGCTACGTTTTGCCTAATTTTGAGTAATTTTGTGGAATTTGGCAGATTTTTGATATATTTGACAGATTTTCTAAGCGCATTTAGCAGAATTTTGTGATGACCTTACGGTCACCCTGAGTTTGCTTGCGTCCACCCTAAGTTTGCTTGCGTCAGAGTGATAATGCGGCACACCTGTTAAAGCAGGTTTTCCCTACAATTCGTAAAGATAACCTAAATAATATCTACATTTCACATAATTGGATTCAAACCAAAACTGACATTGTTTGCAGGTTATAGGATTGATTATAATTAAACAAAATTCCTCATTTTTGGTGTCTAGTTTCCATTTATGTCTAAAAATCTTCAAGATAAATCTATCACTATAAAATCGGCTGAAATGGTCACCTCCGGAGGAGGTAGAGACCATTTTTTTGATGAAAGTTGAAAACTATACCAAACTAGTACCTGAAATATAATAAAAGAAACACACAAGGTGGATCAACTAGCCTGGACATTGCTATTTCGGTTCCAAATGTTCCTGGCAATTGCACCGACCATACCAATACAAATACCCATTCCCACTATTAATAATGTTCATATCCAAATAATTACCAATCGAGATTACATGTGCGAAATTGGAAGAACAATCATGGAGGAAAGTGTGAGTGAAATTTATTCTCAAATTAAGACAGATTTGTGTTTGGGATTTGATCTAACCCGTGAGCAAACGAAAGCTTTAAGTGCGCTACTTCAACATGAAGACGTGTGCGCAGTCCTTCCTACAGGCTCCGGAAAGACCCTCCTTTTTGCAATCTTGCCGTTTATGAAGGACAAGGTGAGTAAAAATTAGTTTATAAATTGCCGGTAAATGCGCCTTTATTCAACTTGTCAATAGGGTAATCGATGATGTTTTCAAATTTGGACGTGTATGCTTACAAATAAACTCCTTCAGTGTGTTAAAAAAAATCATTCTTTTGTTAAAACATTACGTATGTAATATCCTCCAGCAAAGTGTAGTTTTCCAGGGGGAGGAAGCTTTATAAATGTACCTTACCAACACAACGGGCATTCATGCGCGCGGAAAGCGACAGTGCAGTTTCATTTCCGCGTGCGTACTAATGAATTTGCAGTTACTTCTTTTTGATGTACTCCCGCTTGAGAGATAGCATAAACTTGTAAAAGACAGTATTCACCTCTGCGCCTTGAGCATTTTATCAATTATAACGATTTTTTCTGGCGCATTATACATGCTCTTATTATTATTGTGTTTTTCTAATTGTTATAGTTATATTGCTATTGTTTTTTATTTTGTCCTTGTTATGTTTTGTTATTGGTTCATTGTTCGTGACAGTTACAATTATTTTTAATCAAAACATGACTTACATTCACTTCCGGTTACTTTTTAACCATTTTAGAAAATGTGACAATTTACATGTATATTGCCTAAAAGTAATGTCATTCGGACTCCAGCAATATTTTTTCCATTGTTGACACCTATTGAAGTCTTGAACATAGTAGGCCTATTTCCTTATTAATTGTATATATTTCAATGCATCACTTTATATTGCTGACAACATTTTGATTTAATTGTTTATGTTAGACTCACCCTGAGAACAAACCTCATGTAGCAGTAGTTGTTTCACCACTCCGGGCACTGATGAGGCATCAGCGGGATGAATTGTGCAAAAAAGGAATCCCAACAGGATGTATTTTACCTGCAGAAGAGATGACTGCTGAGGAGAGACAAGGTTCTTTTCATGCCAAAGCAATTGACGTTTCTTTTACTGCCCAATAGGGGTCGTGTAACTTCTTCTGAATAGATAGCAATGTGAACAATGAACTACATGTATTATCATGGGCATTGCCAGGATTTTTCTAGAGGAGGGTAGGGCACCCCCCCCCCCCCCCCATCCCTATATTTCCCGTTTTTTCCCGATTGATCCAACCCTTGAAATGAAGAACAATATGCTTTCGAGCCTCTTTTTTTTCTTTTCTTTTTTTTCTCTGTTTGGTTCTGCAAATCCCCCCCCCCCCCCCCCCCCCCCCCCGTTGCAAAGCCCATGCATATTATGTTGCATTATCATGCCTTATTCTTTTTTACATCCTTTCAATTATTGTTTTGGCAGCAATAGTGAATGGAAAAGTCAGTGTAGTACTAACATCACCAGAGGCAGTTCTGAGTTTGCATGGGGAGTGGAGGGCACTGATGAGGCGAGAATCGTTCCGAAGGCACATCTGTTTGCTGGCTTTCGATGAAGCCCACTGTATTTGCAATTGGTATGTGTATACATGTACATGTATTGCATTTCAAATACACATGTACAGTTCTTGAAAAAGAATCACAATTTCTTTTTTCCCATTCAACTCCCCTGCAATACAAGAACATTCAAGAAATGTATTTTTTTGTAAAATCATTGGCCCTGGTTGATTTTTTGGGGGCAACAATTAATTTTCAAGGTTATTTTGGGAATCTTTTTAGTTGATATGCTAATGCAAATTGAAATTACCGATCAAAATTTTCAGTTCATTTTCAGGCATAGACTTCCATATTACACTCTTCTTTCTGCCAAATAAAATGCCAAAGTTTAAGATACATGTACTTTGCTAAAACATTTCTTTTCTGATTTGTTGTGTCAGTACATGTCAATGATCAAATTTTTCTAACAAATGTTTTCAATGAGCATATTTTGGGGTTCACAATGATTGTCACAGTAAAGCCATATACTGAAAAGTATCTTCCTGAAATGACATTGAAGCAACATTGCCTTAAGTTGACTGGAAAAGCCTTGAAAATTGTAATTCTCTAAAGAAGAGCACTATTCAATAAACTCCATGTAACCCCAAAGGAATGTCAAATATTCTTTCACACATTTCAGAGTATAAAAATTATGTTTTTAAGTTAAACTTCATGAACCTTTTAATAAACGTTCAAAAAGAACATTGCATTTGGCAATATTTTGGCAGTGATTGCTGAAATTTTTCTATGGACATAAGAGTCAAGCTGAATCATATTTTCATCTGCACTATATCATAGGGTTCTAACACAAGTCAAATCGACTCAAACATCAAAATTACAAGGAAAACTCCTCAATCAATTCTTTTGTAAACAACAATATCATATTTTATTGAAAAATTTGAATGGAGGTTAACATACATGTAAATGTTATTGATACATAGGGGAGAAGATTTTCGTCCTATTTACAGTCACGTTGCAGAGCTTCGCAGTATACTGAGCAGCGTACCAGTGCTAGTAATGTCAGCCACTCTTCCCACCAATGTGAGGGACAGTGTTTTCAAAACACTTCACCTAGATCCTTCTGAAGTGACCAGTGTCTGCAAAAATCCTGACAGGTACATCGTTGTATTGAATTCCTAGACAGTACCCTGAGACTGGACTGAATTAATCCATTCCCATGCAAGCTAGTCCCATGTGTGTGAATTTACAAAATGTAAAGGTCTGGAAGCTGCTCAAGTTTATGGTGATACATGACAAATATATATTTAATGACACTGTCCTTCTCTTTTTTGATTATTGAAATCAAATAAAAATCAAGTTTTTCTATCAATAATTCTGAAGCCTTGCCTAAGTTAGCATATGACAAATGCATGCAAAGTCCAAAAAATAACGTTAATCCCATATTGATAAAAAACAGTAACTCAAGAAGTCAATTTCAAAAGATGCTTGAATGAAAAATTTTAAAAAAATAGTTGTGCTTCCAACAACTGGTACATGACATTTTAAAAATAAGGAAGGCACTATATTAGGTATGTATTTTTGGGCCACTTTTTTGGGGTATACAATCATTTGGAGGCATCAAGTGTAAAAGCCATAAATTTGTGGTTTTCAATGTGGCATTTTTTTCTCATTACCCCCCTCCCCACCCAAAAAAAAATTCCGGATAGGGGCTGTCACAATAGAGTACACATACAGTAACTGGTAGGTAGAAAGACTGGAAGCAGAACTATTTTTTGGGCCTTATACATGTATGCGTTGTAAACTGTCATCCTACTCTGTACAGTACAATCACGACCATGGGTGTATATTCAATTTGATAATCAATGTTATCGACTACATCTTCAAAATGTACATCTATGCATGTTTGCTGTGGTACAATTTTATATAACCCGGCAGTGAATAGCAGTTTATGTGTCAGATGGCACATAATATGCATGATGGCACAATATTTTGGAGGGGGGGGGGCACTTGTTACTTAAGTCATAATTAAGAACATTATCATTATTGTATGGCGTTTGATGAACCAGTCAGAAACAAATTTGGCAAACATGAAAGGCATTTCTACATTATTCTTACCAACTCTGGTTCACTGCAGCATAGAATACATACATGGAGTCTCTATGTATTTACAACCCAGCATCCCCTTACCATGCTTGCTGAACTTGAATTAATGATATGTGCTTATTTTTTATCCCACAATTTTTTTTTGTAACTACATGTGTGTTCAAATCCAGGCCAAATATATTCCTCAACCGTGCGAATCCTGTCAAGAAAGACAAAGAAAGCTTACATGAAATTGAGGAACCTCAGTGGCTACTCGACTACATTAATGAGCTACGCAGGGAAGGATGTAAAGCCCGGAAGGCAATCATTTACTGCAGGTTTGTCATTAAAGTAGGGTTTACTAAGTACTGCACTAGCCCCTGTCCGTTTGGTTTCACTTACATGTATGATGGAATTTTGCTACAGTTGTTATTTAGTAAACTAAAGTCTGTCACGAGCCAACGTGGCCCATCACGCTGGTTTTTAGCCTATCTCCAGTTTCAGTACATATAGCATGAAACGACTCAGAATACTTTACTCTGCCTGGATGGGATGCTGGTCCATCACAGGTTACTTCCCAGCTAATGCCAGTACCCATTTATACCTCTGGGATGAGAGGCAAGCGGGGACAAAGTGGCTCGCCCAAGGACACAACATTTGACCAGCAGCTGGATTCGAACCCCTGACCCTCTGATCATGAGTCACGAACCCCAACCACTAGGCCACACTATAGTATATGAATAAAACCTTAATGATGTAAGGCCACTCAGCAATTTTCAACCAGTACAAAATATGAATGAAATTTTTGTTGCAAGGTGTTTAACTTTAGGTTGTGTCCCTTTTTTGATAATGCTCCTTACTGATCAAAACGTTAAATATTGTTAAACCAACATTTGTGACTGTCGCCTTTTGTTTGTTGTTTGGACACTTAATTGGAAGGGATCTTTTGCATAAGGAAAAAAGCCTTAATAGTACAGAGGGTATGACTTAATAGTACAAACTTTAGGGAAGATAGAACACCCCTCTTCGTAATGTAACAGCCATTTAATTGTACTTGTTAGCTTCAGCTTGTACAAATTCATTGTTAAATTGGTTTGAGCTACTGTAGTAGCTTTAGAAACTCAATTAATTTACACGTTTAACAACTTGACATTTGTCTCCTTTTGTTGGTTCATTTATAGATACATTAACACTACATCTCGTCTGTGGGGGTACATCATGCATGCTCTTCAAGACAAAGCATGGAGTGAACCTGGCTCAAAGAAACCAGCCCATAGGCTGGTGGATATGTTCCATTCCTCCCTTGACATCAACAGCCAAGCCAGAATTCTGAGAGGCTTCTCTGGCGATGGAGTACTACGCTGTGTCGTGAGCACAATAGCATTTGGGATGGGCATTGATATAGCTGATATTCGTCTGGTGTACCACTGGGGGCTCTCCAAAAGTGCGTACGAATACTGGCAGGAGGTAGGAAGATGTTCCAGAGACGGCAAGCCAGGAGAGGCAACCCTTTTTTTACTACCTGCAAGAGGGCATGTCCAGGTAGATGTTGATTTCAGAGAAATGATGACCGAGTGTGAGAAGGAGAACAAGTGTATCCGCCAATGCATCCTGGACAATCTGTGGCTACCGGAGATGGGGCCCAAGCCCATCCCAAGATCAACACTCTGCGCTGCACATTGTGGCAAAGAATGCCTGTGTGAACGGTGCACATGTTGTATTGAGTGCAAGTCATCCTGCCCATGTGTGAGAACCTCTGACGAAGACTCAGGACTGTAAACTACATTGTACATGTATCACTTGTATGTGGCACATATCTACCTATTATGCCCCAGTTAGTAATAGTTCTACTTCTTATTATATAAGGCATTGAATCATTTGAATGACAGTCGGATTATAGCATCATAATAGCATCTACAACATGAAGTGTGCTGTCATTTTCCAGAGCGGTTGAAATTCGGTGTCAAGTTCCAACAATGTTGGGCAGACCATCCTTGGAAGTGATTACCATTTTTTTGCAAAATGCCTTTTTTGCAGGGGGGGGGGGGTGGAATTTACATGTGTGGGACAAGCCAGCTAGAATGGGTCCCTGACCCTTCAATTTCTTGACATCTACAAATTGCTCTGTAAAATCTTAACTGTAATCAGAAAAACAGACTAAAAGAACATGGTTGTTTTTCGTGGTTTTTCCACCATCCCCAAACAACAAATCTTGAATCCGCTGTCAACGAAATGACATTTGCTATAAAACATCCTCCAAAAGCATAGATTTCTGACAATAACAGCAATTCCTACACATTTTGTATTTCCATTAGACGAGAGTGAGAAGTCCCACCATTTCTATGCCTAGCAATGTGAAAATCTGTTTAGAATGGTTTTGTGTCGAACGTTGCCCCCCCCCCCATCAATCCCTCCCCCCCCCCCCTCATTTTGGGTCCCTCAGGCCTGGTTTTACTAAACAGTGATGGCATGTTATAGACTCGGCCCTGCATGGAGGTCTATTAAAGCAAAGCATGATTTGGAAGCAGTATGATTTATGTACTTTTTGGCTGACTTGGTCCAGTACTTAAATGTAGAACAGAAATGAAGGAATTACATGTACGGTTAATGAATCAAACACTTTGCATCATGAGTTGTAGGTGATTTAATTGCAGGTAAATTTCAATGTCAGTTTAGTTACAAGTATACATCTGCACTTTTGCGTAAACTTTGATCCAGCACCAAAGATGTCTTGATATATTTATTTTATTGTTGCTGAGCACCTCTATTATCCTACACTTCTTGTTAATCATGTTTTCACTTTCAGAACAACACAGGTAATTAAAAAATCAATAAGTACCACTTGTTTTTTTCATGAGCACCTGCAGTCCAGCACATTATGTGAACCGTAATGAATCAAATATTTGCCCTTATTTAGTCCAGATCAAAAGGAATTAATTTACAATTATATTGTCAACCAAATTTGTATGTACACATGCACATGTAGTTTGTGTTAATCCCTCACTTGGAAATTCATTCATGTCGCCCCAAATATATGTATGCTGCATCAAGGCGTTGAATGGTTTGGGTTCAAAAGCTGTCGTGATCACCCTATATGAACATGGGCACACAGAAAGCATATTCAAGTTTTTGTATCCCAATTGATTTTCTGCTAATTAATTTGTTGATTTTTCTTGCTCCAAACATTGAAACATTGAATTTTGGTTTTCTGACATTCTTTCTTCATTTCAAAACATGAAAAATTTACTCCACCCAGAAATTGTGCTTCTTAATTTGTCAACCCTTGCAATACCCACATTGAAACTACATGTAGTACATGTACAGTATAGCTTTGATGAGATCTGAAACCATGTTTTGCACAATTTGTTTCAATGGTGACTGTACAACAAGTTGATTTCCAACCCAAATTAACTACATTTTGTATTCAAATGCAGTAACACACGCAAACTGCAAAATGACTGATAGGCAATTTCAGGGTCACTTCATTGTGTAATTATGGATTGAACGAGATGGCATGCAGATTACAGAGAGAGATGATCAACCCCTCAATAAAAGGCCAATGAAAATGCATCCTGACACTGTATGTTTGTACATAGTATAGACTATTTAGTTCTGTCTGTTAAAGTAATTTATAATTTTACAAGTGAAGCACGCACAGGGATGCAAATAAAATCTCAAGTAGTTGACTTCTTGACCACTTACACATTTTTCCCTTCTTGTTGACACTTGACCATGTTGACACGTACAAACAGGCCCTGGTAGGCATACACAAGTTAATGTTTCTACTCAACAAGGCCACTCCACACATCCATTAACTTGCTGCGATTCACCAGTTTCTTTCCAAGTCTTTCAGGGTCTTTCACAGTCAGCGTGTGCCTGAAAGTCGGAAAAGCCTTGTGGTGTCTGCCAGGAATGAAATCAAATAATCCATCAGCCATGAAAGCCTTACAGAAATGGTCCACATCATCATGAAATTTGGCACGTCTGTTCTTGGATGGTTTGCCTGGACAGTCAACTATGGATGATGTAAAAACCTCATCAAGATCCCGACCAAAAGAACCACTAATCTGACAGCAGCGCTGGACCTGTTCTTCTGTGTACATTCCCCTTGATCTTGCCAGCATCTCCTTGTAGTCTTTGTTGAGGAACTCGTTGACAAGGTCAAGGCCAATGTTTCCATTCAATTTTCCTGTTAAATTTGCCACTCTGTTCCAGATGATGTCATGGGCAACACCACTTGGCAGGGCTCCTTCCACTCCCACAAGCATGTTATGTGCAAGAATCAAGTATTTGCTGTGCTTGTTATTCCAGAACATTGGGATGTTGATCCGCCAATGACTCATCATGGCAGGCCCATTGCCCTCTCTGATGGCGTTTCGGTATGCCATATGACAGAGACCTTGAAAGAGCAATGACTTTGAATACTCTAGGACGCCATCCTGTTCGGCATTATCCCTCTCAAGTTTTTCACAAGCAGAACAACAGTACCACTTTTCTGGAAGATCCTCATGACAGCCAATACCCAAGCACTGCAAATGGTACCATTCCTCTCTAGTACATCTATTCTGTAATTCACACTGGACCATCTCATCTTCTTCCCCTGTTTTTCTATGACAAACACAGTAGATATATGCTTGTCCCTTCTCACAGGCTTGACAACACCACCAATCCCCATCCGGGGCTTCTTCTAGGCCTACACAACTATAGTGAAACCAGCCACAGTTGATATTGCTGCATCTGATCATGGATTCTCCAGTGTTATTGCCACATCGACACCCATCCTCAACATTACTAGCACCAACATCCTGAAGCATCTCATTATCCACTATGCAGTCTGGTTGGGTCTTTTGCTGAGCACAAGCAGTGCTGACTTCCTCCAATGGAACCTCTGGCCAAATACAAGCTACAATTTCTCTGGTCAATCTTTGAAGCCAGACCGATTGCTCCTCGGGCAATGACGGAAAACTGGCAGGCACCTCACATGAATCCTGAATTTCTGAAAGTTTCATGGCCAAAATTGTTGCATAAGCCTCAGTAGCAAACACAATCAAATCAACAACATGATTGAAGTTTTCCATTACTTTCGCCTTCATTGATCTATGACCATATGCCTGCTTCAGATGGAAAGGGTGCCTCTGTCTGTAGAACTTTTTCCAGTGAAGAGCTCGTTTATAGTGTCTTGCATCAGCAGTCCTCTACGATGAAATTCCTGGGGGGACTGAACAAGACCTTCCAATCTGTCTGCCGGAGTTTCTCCACCATTTCTGCCTCGTTTGGCATCGCACATTCGTTCAACTGATAGCCCATCACCAAAGCATACAATGGGGTGTACAGCGGATTCAGCGGATGGCACAAATTTGTGGAGATACTTCATGATTTGGATAGTTCCTGCAGTTGAGGATGGATTCTCCTCCACCACTCCCAAGTTGACTATCTCACTTTTCTGATGCATCTTTATGAAGTGCTCATGTTGGGCGACATCAGAGCCTTTGGTGTTTTCGAGACAAGGCAGATGATACTTTAGAATGCCTTCCAAAATTACAGCCATTCTATCTTTCAAGGCATTATAATCAGCTGCAGAAGGTAAGATTGAGGACAGTGGAACATATTCCGCCTTAACTACCTCCCTGTCAAGGTCTTTGGTGAAGGGAATGCGATTCCGGGCTGCAAGGGTCAGTGCCCACATTTTAAACTTGTTCCCGTGCTGCCTTGATTGATGCCTCGCCGTTGTTTGTATCTGGACATTGTCCCAAACAACACAATACCCAGGATCAACATCAGCAGTCTCACACTCTACAGGAACTCCTCCATCTTTAGCCTTATCATCAACACCAGTTGTCACCACCTGTTCACATTTTAGGTCACTGTCACTCTGAGAAGACGATGACTCCAAGATACCCACCCTTCCAGTGACTTGTGGCATTTCCTTCTCTTGGAGATCTGGCATTTCCTTCTCTTGGAGATCATCTTCATCAGATGTATCGGAAGATGTACTTACAGGACAGCTTGTGATGTCAACACAATCTTCACTACTACTGTCACCATCTATCTCGGTTCTGTCATCACTGATCCACAAGCTCCTACGAGCTGATGTACCTGCAACTGTAGCAGCAGTGAACTCACTCTCCAGATTGGACTTCCACCATTCAATCTTTCGTCTTGAATCCTTCCGAATCCAATCAATAGTTGATATGGTGCCATGGGGGCCCTTGGAAATACCCATATGCTGCATGCACTGCAGTAGCTTTTGACTGCACCCGTGTTTCCACAATTGGACACTCATGCAGCCCTGCAGAAACTTGAATACACGACTTTTGTGAGTATACAAGATTATAGACAGTATGAGACCCATCCTTTGCTTGATCTGTGTTACTCCAGCTGTCTTTTGGTTGGCGAGAGCAGGTAAAGCAGCCTCAAGAGCACCCATCAACAAAGGCATGTGTGCCTTTCCCTCATTAACAACTGCCTGCCAATTCCATTTCTCCATATTCTCTACCGTTACATGTTGCGAAAACAATGATTTCTTTGGATATGAAGATGATTCCCTTTTTACTTTTTTCTGCAAGATCTTGATGAATGCTGATTTTCCACTCTGTGACTTCATAAGTGATGCAATGGCTCTGTCATACTCACTCCTTTTGATGTACTGGATGATTCTTTGTTTGGATTCCCATTTGCATTTGGTCTGTTTCACTTGTGTTTTTGGCGGTGTATTGAAGAACCTGCCAACTTTGGCACTTGGTTTGCAAGGGGTGCTAATGACCCGCTTTATCCCTCTTTTTTTAGGTGTTCCCTTCAATTTCGATATACACACAAATCCATCATGTGCAAACCTGTCTTCTGAGATGCCGCTACGTTTAAGAGAGATTCGTTTCCAACCATGTTTCTGTTTCTTAAAAGGCTTTTGGCAATTCAGGCAAACACCTTGGGGGTTCATTTTGAACAAGTGTTATCTACATGTAGACCCAGAAAGTAATGAACAAAATTATGAATTTTTCTGTAATTTATGAATAAGTGCAATCAAGAAGGCCGGTCAAACCCAGAAAATCTTATCACATTTACACAGTACAGTACGTACAGTTAATACTGTCAACTATTTCCAACTAAAACTACATGGTACTTAGAAAGTCAATGTCCATGTATGCATTCTATGCTACAGTGTTTCATGAAGGAGTTGCTAACCAGTAACTGTTATTTCAGCCCTTTTGTTATTTTTTTCCTAGTAGATTTAAATACTTCTGCTACTGCGGATGATTTTGAAAGAAGTACCACCTATCAATTACTCTGTTTTGGGGGATTCTCTACATGTTAACTTTGGTTTTATTTACATAGATGTACTGTACTTCTAAAATGACAGTTTACAACAAATACATGTAGTTTTCCTGTCTACGGTACAATGTACGTAAAAAACATGGGATCACATTTTTCAATAAGTCATTTCTTCCCAAATTGTACTGAAAATAGTTTTTTTCCCCACTTAATTTACTCATAGATCTGAACCAGTGGGTACAGATACAGTTGTTCCAGTTAAATCAAACGAATTACAGGCACTACAGTGTATAGCTAGATAGCTTGAACAGTCCGTCAAACTTACAACAGAACATGAACATTAACCTCAATCTATTAGTGTATTATTTGTACAGCACCTCTGTTGTCAAAGAAGCGAGTGATGATATGCCTGCTCACGTCAGCCACTGTTGAATGCACTTCAGATCCGAGTTCCAGGTGTCAACCCCAACCTGTATATAAAATAAATAATGTACAGCCACCTATAAATAACTGAAAAAGAACTGCAAACTGAAATCAAATGTAACCTAACCTACATGTATGATAAACTAACATCGCATAGGAGAATATTTTTGGTTTTTTCATGCTACTGAAACTAACTCCCCTCCCCATGGGCAACAGTGGCTTGTGACAAACTTTACATAAATTTGGGACATTTGAGAATGGAAACAGCCATTCCACACCACCTGTTTTTGCTTTAGTTGTAACTGGGGTGGACATGTATCTTTTGGAACCACAGGTTTGCTGTAAACGGGCATGAAAGACACACTGGAGGCACGCTCGGGTGGGTTTGGTTGAATTTTTAAATGTAAGAAAATAGGAAAGACATTTTAAATCTATTTTTATTTCTCCTGAATTCTCCTGCAATTTGAGAATGTATTAATTGAGCAACTCAGCATTCCTTTCATTATTTTTAACCATAACCTCAAACAAGTCAGGCTGAAGGGGGTGGTGGCAAGGGGTTAATAGGTGTAACACCTGAAAACTGGAGGGATTTTGTAAACACATGAATCAGTAGCAAATCAGTAGTGGATCAGGGAAGTGCTGAGGGCAGCGCAGAGCCCTTTCAACTGCAACTGCCCTTAACTATTTCTATTATTAGTTCAACGCTGGTTGCAAATGATGCAGTTTGGCTTGCTATTTACAGGCATGAAATGTGGTTGAATGAACAATCACAAAATACTACACCATACAACTTTTTACAATTTGATAAATGAAAACCAAAAACAGTTCCGGTAAAAATAAATTCCGTAAAAAAAAAATTGAATTAGCAAAAAGAAGGATTGTGTACATGCGAACGGTCTCCCCATAAAAAAAAAATTAGCCTTGACAAGGGTGCATTAGTTTTAATATTGTGTGAATGATTTTAGGATTTATTGTTATTTGGCGGAATAAATAATAATAATAATAATAATAATAATAACAAGTATTCGCCCAATCAGATTTAGTATTCATAATCATTTTTAATTTTATAATTGGACCTAGGCTATATTGGGGAGAAATATTTTGAGGCCGCACCATAAGCGGGAAAAAAATTGTGGCTTCAATTGTTTTAAGTAACACATAGAACAGCCGTCGGGTCAACAATAAACTCTGTATTCGAACATTGCATACTAACGGCTGTTGCAAGTATTAAATCGAAGCGCCCTCTCTATACGACGATTTTTTTCCCACATATGCTACGGCCTAGTGAAATGGTTACCAATATACATGTACATGTACAACGTAATACCATTAATAAACTAAATGCATCATTTGCAATATCAGGACCCATTTTACCCCTTATCTGATCGGTGCGTGGAAATTGAGTATATCAGTAAATATGAGACAGTGTTTATGGGAAACTGTACTGCAGTTTGGAGGAGTTTTTCCAAGTAAGATTACAACCATGTTACAACTTACAAGACAAACCTTGACTTCATCGAAGCTTGGCCGGCCACGGGGTCTGTCGCGCGCGTCGTCCAACAAGCAAGCCGTCGACATCGATGCCCGCGCAGCGCATGCGCGGGGTATTATTTTAATTTTTAATTGGAACAGGAAACAGCCGTCGCATTTGCAACTCGCGCCCTCGCTCGACAAGCAATTTGCATAAACGCGACGTCACAGCTTGAGGTCATCTCTTGTCACATTCAAAATGGCTGCCATCACCAGACGTTTCACGACGTTTCACGGGCTCCAGAAAGATTCAAGAATATCTCGGAAAATTGAACATCATTACACCCAAGCATCCCAGAAGTGAAAGTTGGGACATCGTAGAATACAACCATATGTAAGAAATTCGCTGTTGAAATTATGAAAACGTCCTCAGTAGTGCGCAGACCACGGTGTGTGGCCTTGGGTTCAGCGCAGCATACCGACGGCCACACTAGTGGGGCTATATTAGACCCGTGAACGTGGCGTTGTATACAACGCCACGTTCTTGTTTCATTTCGAACCTGGCGAAATCGATCCGACATACATAATTCCGTATGGGTGTTGAGTACTCACCTAGAAATCTAAATTTGCCCGTCCGATTGTTTCGGCTGTGTAATTTCGACGAAATTTGCCCATCAGTAAAGACCCATACGAACGTGTAGAAATTAGATTTTAACCTGACCCTGACAAATAACCCCGGACGCGTCTGAGTCGCTTGGACAGATTGACGGCTGTTTCATGTCGCAACCCCGAAAAAAAAAACCACGCAGACGATTGGCTGCTCGGCTCATCTCGTGTACAGTACGTGTGTGCACACACACGCGGGCGCACGTGCGACCGCATGCGGTGCGGTGAGAGAGGAAAGGACTTGAAACTTGTCTAAAACGATGTCTGTTTTAGCTGCGACAGTAAACAGCCGTCGAATCATACGAAAATAAAACGTAATGCGCATGCGTCAGTTGGGAGAAAATGGCAGCTAGCAGTAGCGGACGGACTTCATGAACCGGGGCCAGAATTTTCCTCAATTTTCGTCAAATGCAAGTTTGGACGTACAAATAGAATTCAAGACAGATTCATATGTGAGTACTTATTACATGGGCAAAATAACGTCCAGTGTGTGTAACGGAGGGAGTCAGAGGGACACGTTCGCCAGGTTCGAAATTACATAAGAACGTGGCGTAGTTTACAAGCCACGTTCACGGGTCTACCTCTTTATAGGCTAATCAGAAAGTGCTGCCTTTTTCAGATGTCTAATTTTCGTGAAATTTCCAGATTCATTTGCACACGTTTGCGTATCAAAATTTCAACATGAATTTTCACAAAAATTAGACATCTGAAAAAGACAGCACTTTCTGATTAGCCTATAAAGAGGGCGAGTATGCTTCTAAAGCAAAAAAACCCTACAAACTAAGCCTAAATGTGAAAATCAAAATTTGGCAAAGTGCGACACGTTTTTGTACATGCTGATGTGTGGCCTATGTTTACGGAGGTAGTCCAGTAAATAGGCCACATTTATGGGGCTAGATGTCACTCAGCTCAGTCAGCATGGCCAGCAGGTCAACAATGACAACATCCTGCATGACGTGCACGAATGATCTTTGGACTTTGGTAATACTGGTTCTGGTTCTGGTGGAATACTGGATGATCTCCTGAGCAGGGATGTAATATGCAGACGTTCAACCAAAGGTGACCCAACCCGTTAAAATGAGGCACAAGTCCCACGAACTACTTTTAAGTAATTTTCATCAAAGCAAAGGAAATCGGTAGGCCTATGTCAACTAAATCAAAACGAAGAACAAATAATATGCTTGCTACTCCATGAAAAACGGTGAATTATAAGTTAAACTCACATGACTCATGTTGTTGTATTGTTATTATCCTTAAAATATCTTTATTGGGCCATTTCTTAATTACTTAGATTACAGATTTTCAGGCGTGGGCGACTAGTGAATAGTCGCGACTAGTCACGGCATAGTCGACTATTTTTATTTAGAAATAGAAATTGATACTCGTGACTACCAATATTTTTTAGTACTGTAAAATGCCGCTGTAACTGGCTATAAGGAACTTCACCAACCAATTTTGAGGTTTCATTTCAACTTTTGAAGGAAAATATTGTCCAATATTCTGTCCTGAAGCTAAGTCATCTAAAACTGCTAGGGCCCTGATGCTACTTTTTCAGAGCGATAATGGAGAGACTCGGAACCAGATGGCCGTGTCTGAATTTGTTGGCTGTGGCTCGGTGGTTCGCATGTGTCTGTGCATGCAGCCGAAGCCAAGTGCTATATTGCTGCCAGCCGGCCACACAGCCAAGTAATTCAGATTCAGCCTGCTTGTACATGTTTCATCTTGATCCAAGTTCCTCCATTCTTTATGAATACTACTGCTTATTCAGCATGTCATAACCACCAAAAATCTGTGATCCCCATTTCTCAATTTGTTAATTGATGCACAGCCCAAGAAGAAGAAGATGAAGGAGAAGAATGTTGAGGAAGAGCCCAAACGGAAGTCACCGAAGAAGAAGGCAAAAACGGGTGATGGGCCAGAGGACCATATGTACCCGGTGAGTACATCAGGGTTCTCCCCACGTACAAACGTGCGTATCGGCCCGATACGCTGGAATTGCGGCCCGATACGCCGACAAAAATGCCGATCACATTTTTCAGCCCCCGATACGCACAATATAATTATTATACAAGCCATTAAAATGCACAACATAATCGTTTCATACGCCATTATTTCATCTTGACATGCAAAATCTTGACAAAAATCCCGTATTTCTGATGCATGTGTGATCAAAATGCACACGGTGACGGGTCTTTCGCGTCTACTGCCAGGACCCAGCTATATATTAGCGCATACAGCATGGTACACTGGTTCCCTTTGCGTAGTATCAATGCTATGATGAAGGACCGGAACCAGTGACTACTGCCTCGTGCGTGCATACATGATGATGATGTCGGCCGAAGTTAAGCATATAGTGGAATCAACCACCTCAAATATATTTTTAATTAGGTGAGGCAAGTTTTAATCACTTTTGATGGTCAGTCTTGATAATTTTCGTGGTACAAAGGAAAATAATCCAGGCACAAAACTACATGATTCCTTGTTCAATATGCTCCATTCAATCATGTGTTTTTATTTCTCCATGATTCAATCAGCAGCCCAAAAAATTGGCGAAATAATTTTTTCGACCTTCCGACGGTATTTTGAAAGGCATGTAATCGGAAGCAAAAGCGATTTTGTTTTCTTCACCTTAATTTCTTAATTTGAAACTTGCTTGTAAATATAATCCATACTTTCTAGTTCAGGAAGTTTTAACACAGGTTTTGAAATGCTGATTTTTTTTTTAAGTTAAAAATGTTTTTTTTTTTTTTTTTAATTACAAAAAAAATCACAAGATCTCCTGTAAATTTTAAGGACAAATCTTCCTTAAAGACTCCCCAGATTTGCTCTAAAATGCACCAGAGGGCCTCTAAAGTTCAAAATTTTTACACGCCGTGGCTTCGCAGGTTGGTGAATCACAACAAAACTTCCCCCACAAATTTGAAAAAATCCTGGGGAGAACCCTGTACATGTATATACTCTGCACATTAGTGTTTTTAAATGGGCAGTTGGGCACAGCTACTTTTATTGGGGGAGGAGCCTGGGGGTTGGGATGGGATGGACAATGTAGATCTCACCAAGGGCAGATCCAAGGTAGGTCGTTTGGGTGGCTACCCCCCCCCCCTTTAACCCCTTACTATCTAATGTTAATTAGTTATATAGTGGAACATTTCCTGAAGTTCCTTGAATAATGACATCACTCAATATTGCTAATCTTTATGTTTTGCTTCAGGTCTTTTGGACTTTTCATGCATTGACTACAACACCTCATCCAACGCCCCTCCCCCCCCCCCCCCTTTTCACAAAAATGTTCAACTTCAACAACATAGCAGCCTCCTTTGGAAAATCATGGATCTCCTCTGCAGACCCACATTTAAGGATGGCCATAGGACCATCTATCAATTTTTGTACACACTATAGAGGGAATTTTATGACATCATTGTTGCGTTTTAATTAAATGGAAGTGCATCAAGTGAAAAATATGATACTTGTTTACATTTTGTACATGTCACAAGAGGAGGCAGAATTATTTCAAAAGTGGAGTTCTGTTATTTGCATTCTTTTTCATGCTGAAATGGGGAACTCTTTTTTTTTTCAATTCAGCTGGTCTCATATTTGTACGCTGCTGCCTGTCCAATCCTTACCTCCCAAATTACATTTATTATTTCTAAGCTGTAAGCTATTTCATATGTTGTGTCACCTCGTTACAGCTTTCCAGACAGAGATTTGTCAATGTAAGGGAGTTCCGGGGCAAAGTGCTGATTGACATAAGAGAGTACTACACAGACAACTCGGGGGAGCTCAAGCCTGGAAAGAAAGGTAGGGTCACCTAGCTTTTGTTAATTTTAACATTTAAGGTGTTTCTTTTTCTACCAATGTCAGATTTTATACCCACGGTTGTTTTTTATTTCTTCGCTTTATTAGAATACAGTTGAAAAAAAAAAAAAGTTTCCCATTTGAAGGATTTACACAAAAATCAACAGAAAATGTTACAGTCAGATAATTCGACTGAGCTCAAATGCATTTTGGTACATGTATGACAAACACAATAAATGGTTGAAAACTAATGTCCCACTGTAGTCGTACCCTTTGTCTCAACTTTCAAAACCTGAAGTGCAATAAGAAACTTGGGTTAACATATGTACATTATGCCCTTCATTTTAATCTCAAAACACCTAATAAAGACTGCCACCTTCATTTGCTTAAGATTTCAATGTACAGTACTGCTTATACATTACAGCGCCCTCTTTTGACAAGTTTTTGTATTAAACTTGCCCTTAGTCAACTCAGCATTTAATTCATTGTTATTTTTTTTTGGGGGGGGGATTTGAAGTTTGGGCTGTGTTTGGTTTTGATATTTTGTTTTGTATTAAAGCCTTCAATGAAGTCCTGTAATTCACCATTGTTTGTTTATTCTTTTGCTTTATTTTGTTTTTAGGCATCAGCTTAACTGTTGAACAATGGGAAAAACTGAAAGATTGTGTTGATGATATCACCGACAGTGTCAAAGAACTAAGTTAGGGTTTGTTTTGGCCATTTTTGTCATGTTTGATATTTGTTTTGTAGTGTTGAAGATACGTACCCAAACACTGAAACGCATAGCTGTCTTTAGTGGTCTTCACTAGGGCCTGACCCGAATATACCGAATACTCAAATATTCGATCATAAATCTAATAGCTTTTTGCCGGTTTTGAATATTCGAAAACTAAAAAAAACTACACATTAAACTACGGTTAATTATTTACACCCTTTTAGCAGGCTAAAGCCCTTTATACTGCAAATTTACTCAAGGGCCACATATGGATCGCCACAAGCAAATTTTAACTAGCGCACTGGTCGTGCAACTTTTTACTGGGTGCAGCTCGCTGTTGCAGCTGCCATTTCGAATATCCGAATATTTAGTAATCGAATACTAAATAATTCGCAAATAGACAACCCTAGTCTTCACAACGCATACTATAATATGCAGTATCATTGATGCTGTGATGCCAAGTTTAAATAACATTAAGAGCAATTTCACACAAACTGGTGCTGTGTTTGTTTTTTTACGTCTGTGATGCAGTGAAGTGCTTCTTTAAGAAAGCATTAGAGCTGAAATCTGTGAACTTTATGAACTTCAAGCCCTCTAATAAAATGTATTTCACTACGATGTGAAATTAGCCGTAATCTAAATCAAAGGTCTAGAGAATTGAAATTGAGAGTGTGTACACCTACACTTTCATGCGAGACCCCCTCTCTGACCGCTAGAAAAGATGTTTGCAACAAATGCTAAACAGGACTCCACTCTGAGATAAGGTACTTGGTTTATCGTACTTTGGGTTAATGGATTTATCTTTGGAATCTGATCAAGACCAAAGAAACATCTTGAGACATTTTGCGCTATGTAGTTTCAAAAGCTTGCCGCCAGCAGATGTCTTATGTCATATACAGAACATGAAAATACCACATGATATTTGTCAATTTATTTTTTTTTATCGTTAAGAAAGCAGTTTGCTGAATGTGCCACTGTGTAATAGCTAAAAAATTTAAAGAATTTAAAGTTGTTTTGGAAAGGATTGGAGTAAAACGTCCAAAAGTACATATTAAAGTGAACTTTTTTAGAAATCTGAACTCAGTTTGACTGCATTGTTTTTATGAATCGGTGTCACTTGTAACGGCATGCATACTGCTCCACAACCAAACTAGAATTGTGCCTGTATCTCTTTGTGTTTAAATTGCTGTTTTCTTTCGCAGGCTGTTCGAAAGTTATTCACTTTTGAATAAGTCATCAAATGACAAAAACAGATTCTGCCCACGTTTAGTTATAGCAAGAACAAGTTTTGAATTGGTTGCGGCCTGGCAATAATTCAGGTGTTCAACATGTATCTTTTGTGCATTATGGTATATACATTGAAAACTTATGGTTGGACTTCATATTGTTTTGCTTGACATGTCCCATAAAAAGTACACACTAACTACCGAGGACTTGGGCTCGGGTCCTCGGGATTATTCTGGTTTAGCCTTTGTACCAAGTCGTCATTCATAAATGATGACATGTACACGTTTACGCAGTTAAATTACCATCACTCGGACACGGAATACTGAACTCTAAAGCCAAGGTCATTTTGTTTACCCTATATCGCCACAAGGCAATCACAGCCCCGTTAATCCTAAGTCATCAATCATACATCTTTCTCACCCTTGTGTCAAGTTTCTGTCAAGACGTCCCTCCATTCATAATTAGGACATCAATCTGGAATATTTCATATATCATATATATAATATCGGATTAATTATTGAAACAAATGAAGGGCACATTCGGTCAGTGAACGAGACCATCAGGCGCGTGTCGCGTTTAAGAGATACAGTACCAGTATAGGAACTGAAAAATACACGGCTCTTGTTCCCCTTCTTTGTTACAAAATATAGGCTGTAGACATGAACATTTAATCTTGATCAAGGATATTGGGCTGGAGTAATTGGTTTGAAAAAAAAAAAATGCCATCCCAATGTTTGTACGTGAAAATTAAATATGAACATGTTTCTGATTGGAAATTGAGAAATAACGCCTACTTTAGCAATCACAAATTTATTGTACAACATTGGCCTATACGTTTCATGATTGATCTCACGTATTTCATAGTTCAGGGCGCATTGAACAATGAGGGGTAAGCAATTTACGAATAACAAGTAACATGTTATTTAAAACATACAACATGTATGTTGTTACACTCCCTTATGTGACTGCTGTTGCCATTTGTAGTTTCGATGATAGAAATAAGAACCGTATAAACGATCTCTTGGGGTATAACTTTCGCTAATAAGAGAGAACTAAACCCGTTTAGATAACTCATTTCCTGCAGTTCATTACTGCACGTATATTTCCAAACTATGTCGTTGGGTTGGTCCTAACCATCCGGGTTATGACGAAGCCATTGGTTAAGAGTTGAGCGCAAACATTGTGCCCACTGCACTCACTAACCAATAAAAGTGGAGATATTGCTTTGGCGAGGCTGCTGCCCTTTTCCATGCAATTGTCACATCTGTATACATGTACTCGCCAAAATGAAGTGAATTTATACCTGTAATGGAACATTATGGTATTTTAATGACAAAACATCAACTCAATGGAAGTACGATGACAGACGTGGAGTTAGCGCAGATGTCCCCATAGTGCAAAGGCATCTAGTAAATGGCTTTATTTACCCCAAGATTGTTTTTCTTCTCTGTATATTATCTGTCCTCCACCCCAGGCAGAATCTGATGATGAAACCAAGGTATCATGTCTGTCAATGACAAGGATTAGTTTGGGGTCTAGCAAATGCGACGTCCGCACCGCAATGCGATGATATGGCTGCGGGTTTATTAAAGAGAAGTCTGTTGGTCTCATGAAGCTTAAGATTTAGCAGCTGCCGAGTGTACGTCTGCCAGGTGCATTTATTTTGCTGGTCCCAAAGAGGGCCAGCCTATAGACCTTTATCATGCTGCCACCATTTCAGTCATGTTCCCTGTATCCAGTAACAGTACTGGATGATTATGGGGTTTTTTGGTGCAAAAAGGAACCAGACTTTCCTTCCGGCCTTGCTTTGTTACGTTGATTTGGATGGGAACAAATGAAGATGGCCCCAACATGATAATGGTCTATAGTCATCTTTGTCAGTCAATTGTGATTTAGAATTCCTTACTTGAAGGAACCTTACGTCCTGGAATACGCCCATTTGGGCTACAAAACGCGTTTTAAACGAAATTATATTAATTGGAAAGAGCATTTAAAAGTAGGATATAAACGCCCACACATGCATTCTTTAAAAACGGGGCGTTTTTGTGTTATTCGTGCGAGAACCGTGCGAGAACGAATTTCGGGGGTACAATTTTTGACTCAAAATTCGAGCTGTTGACTGCTAGTTGTGAATCCTGCCTTATGGTGCATCGTATTCTGCGCACGTGCGAGAAACAACATTGGTGATGTGTGTATTGTGAGACACACACAACGTGTAGCGAACATTGAATGGACACGGCTGGAAATACGTTTGCGTATGCCACAAACCGTCCGCCGCGTCCGATGTAAACAACCGGTTTTTTCCCGTCTTTTCTCGGGAACGGTAAGACTCTAGGTTAGTTTCCTTTCAACCAGATCTTTTAATAAATAAGATAAGTAAACAATCCAATCGGAGATTTTAGGCCATAAATGCCTCTTTAAGTCTCACGTTGGCCCGCGTGTATAAAAAGGATTACCCGATAAAGCCAATGAATAGACAAAATCCAGTCAATTGTTGGCCACATGTGCGGATTGATTCTGATTGATTAGATTCCTTTTGCTGTGAGACCAGGTCTTCTACATAGGCGATTTGTCTTGTTAAATGTACTATGGCCAAGCCTATAGTATTGATGAAATTGTATTAGTTATGCAGTATAAGGGAAAGGGAGGGGCACGGTATAAATGAGGTGCAACAAAACTTGACCTTTATGGACATAAATAATGTTTAGTCGTTATCCTGTGATGATGTTCGTGTGGTACATACATCCCGAGGACAGCGAGACAAATCCTGAGAGAACAGCAGATTCTTTGTTGTCCTCAAACGTGCATCTTTCGAGAACGGTCATCGAACGTAAGTATGTGAGCCAAGTCTACGGGAGTGTTCTATTTTAGGAATAAAAGGAAACTTGTCCTCAGACGTCATGGTAAAATATGACTGTGTTTGTATCTTCACTTGCGCTTTTCATGTTGTACGTCATCCATGCGAAGAACATTGAGGTGCGTGTTGTCATAACTGAAAATACCATGTATTTCAAACACGGGCTTCATCTCAGCTTCAACTTCGTCTGCGGCTCCCGAACATTTACCTAGACAAAATGGACCCGATATTTAGCCAATGACTCCTAAGTCAAGACCTTTAAATTGAAGCCTGAACCGAGGCAAAGACGAGGTTTGGGGAAACCTAAATGATAACGGAGTGCGTCGTTAATATCCTTTGCCGCGTTCCTTGCACCGTCGTTGTAGGAGATGTCTGTTCCCCCTCGCGCGAACTGTTGCCATAATCCCCACCTGACTAATGGCACAAAATGCGCACCTCTCGTGATAATCTCATTAAGCGAGGCAGCCGCCGGAGTGCGAAAATATGGCCGCATTAATTGTGTGGCAGGCCGGCTCCAAGCTACAGACGAAGATTGATGGTTAAATACCTGAAGAGAGATGATCTTGGTATTTTATAGTAGGTACACTAAAGTTGCCTTTCCGTAATGTTCAGTCCCTTATTGTGTCCGTTGCGTATAGTGGGGCAGTGAAGACCTTAACACCCGAACGGAACAAAAACCGAACTTATATACTGCGCAAAATGGTGGCTTTACGCAGGCTTTGTGCGTTGTGTATACGGTTTCCCGAGCGAGCGTTCATGGCTTTAGAGGCCATCAGTCGATTTCTAGAAAGAGTGCGTAACATACGCCATGCGTAGGATGTACGCAACAAACCTGATTTACCTCGAAGAATTGGGATTCCCGAAGTACCTCTCAAAACCCCGCTATGTGTGCCGAAAACTGAAATTGCGCTTGCGTTGTGTTTAGTCATCATGACCACACGCAATTATGCCTCTAAATGTCATAATGTATGGTATTGAATTCCCATGTACATTACCAGAGACCATAGCGAGTGATGTAACACCTTTCTATAACGATCAAGTGGTCGTTACAGTGGAGTGCCTCCGTGAGTATGAGACATGAGCATAAAAGGTATAAGCTGCAGGATGAGAGAGAGAGAACGATCCTCTCTTAAGCTGTGATTTAGGAGCGTGTTTGCCGAGCCTCACGGCGGTGGATTGCTAAAGATGTACCGCCGCCTGTTCCTGTTGCTCGCACGGTCCTTGTCGTAGCTGTCATGGGTGTCAAGGGGAGTTGGTTCATGGTGAGATCCTTGATGTCAGTATAGGCCACGACTCTCAAGTGATATTTTGTAGATTTGAGGCTTAGCAGATATGTATTTTTCTCATATAATTATATACGTTGGCGAGCACGTATGATGTTCAGACTGTACTGTGAATGTAATCCCCATGCGCAATACCAATATAATCTGCCAAAAAAATGCACATCGAGGGTACTTCTGTTGCGACTGAACTCCCGCCCCCCCCCCAAAAAAAAATGCAACAACAACCGTACAAACGCTTATCAAGTTGTGTGAATGTGTACATGCACGCACAAACCCCCCGAGGACCTATACACAAAGGGAGAACAACTTTCAGTCCTCGGGCGTTGCGTCTTTTGTTGAAAACGGTCCTCGATTGTACGGTTATGTGCTTAGTCTATGGGAAAGTGTTATATTACAGGGACAAAGGGAAACACTAAGCATTGTCCTCAGGAGTATTGTAAAACTCGACTCTGTGTGTGTGGGTTTTTTTTTACACATTGTAAAAAAAAGAAAGCATGATACGTTATATTACATCCCCCTCCCCAAAATAACAATTCAGTAAAAAGATCGCTGCACATGTCCTAGATATTGTAAATAATACACAGGAGTGATGACGCAAGACTTTAAGTGTTCAGTTATTGCACATCTGCTTCAGACGTGTACAACCGCCGTCATCTCTGGAGCCGCAAACTGAAGTGATACAAAGGACACTTGAGCGCTTCAAAGGTGTAGA